TGAGAATAGCCCACCAACCAAGTCCAGCCAACAGAGTCCTGTGGGCAGCGTCCTGACAAGGAACTAAAGGATGACCAATACAAACTGTGCAGCAACTAATGAGCTGCTGTCTCTGACTTTATATCTACAAGGTGGACCAGCAAGGTATGTGGGTCCAATATGGTGAACAGTGAGTGGACACAGTTTTTACAAACTCCAGTAACACTGTCGAGTCTGATCCACTCGTACCAGCCCAACACACACTAACACACCTCCACCACATCAGCGTCACTACAGTACTGGGAATGATCCACCACCAAAATAATACCTGCTCTGCGGTGGTCCTGTGGGGGTTCTGACCATTGAAGAACAGGGAGAAAGGGGGCTAACAATGTATGCAGAGAAACAGATGGACTACAGTCTGTAATTGTAGAACTACAAAGTGGACCTGTATGGTAAGTAGTACTGTTAAAATGCACAAAGAGTGTAGATACACAGTAAGTGTACTTAATGAAGTGGCCGGTCAATGCATATACATACACACACAAATATATATCTATTTTATATATATATATATATATATATGTATGTATGTGTCAATCTCTGCTTCTTTCTCTCACTAGTCTAATGATTTTGACAGCTTCCTCAAAGCCTCTGCTGATTCACTGCACCACAATGGCTGCGTACAAAATTATGTTTTTTTAGCACGTTGGTACCTTCTTTTCACTCGACTGTACCATTTAGCTTTTCTCTCGTGTTCCTCCTTGGCTGCCGTAATACCCCCCACCCCCTACCCCACCTCCACCACCATTGATCTTTGCTTCTATCTCCCTTGCCATGGTCAAGTAGCTGCAGGGCCAGGGACGGCCTTTTTCATTAAACGCTTTTTTGCACATCTCCTTAGAGTGCCGCTCTTGCAACATGACCTCCTCAACTCTCTCTTTTGAAGAGACAGGACAAGAGAGAATGAGAGAATGAGATAGTGAGCGAGAAAGAAAGGAATAGAAATAAATCGCAGGGTCCTCAGTGGTTTCCTGCGCTCTTTGCTACTCTGTCTCTTTCTCTTTGTTATCCCTGCTACAGTTTTGTGTGTGTGTGTGTGTGTGTGTGTGTGCGTGTTCATGTGTCCATGCGTGCGTACACCCGTACACTTAGCTCGGCCAAGTCCTTCACGAACGCTGTGCCCAGACTGCCAGTCTTTATCCGTCACCATTAGGGCGCTACTGGTCAGGAAAAGGAGTCATTCCCCAGAGCTTATCAGCCCCAAAGGAGCGTAGCTATCAGCCTAGCCTCTCTCACGCTTCACACACCCACAAATCTGAGCGCATACTTCCTCCCCAAACACTCCCCATTAGATCACTGGCCCGTCAGCCCTGCAGGGACACGAGGCCTGAGTTTACAGCAGGTTTTTGGGATTAGGAGAGGAGCCAGGCTGGTTCTTAAGTGTTTAGCTTAGCTTAGCTTTCGTGTACTGTGCTGTTCTTGGCTACTGTTCGCTTGTCAGCTACATTATATGTCCAAAAACTTGTAGATACGTTTTTTTCCTCTTCTGGGAAGGCTGTACACTAGATGTTGGAACAGTTGTGAGGACTCGATGGTATTCATTGGTGCTCCATCACTCCGGAGAACGCGGTTCCACTGATCCACAGTCCATTGCTGGGGAGCTTTATGCTTGTTCATTCTAACACCACTCACTTTCAGTGGTTTAGCATTTATTTTAGAATAAAATCATCTCAGAAAATGAGAAGAATAGTGCCTAGCAAACTTTAGTTCCTATTCTGGACAAGTGCTAAGTTAAACTGGACATCTATAGGAAAGAGATGAGATTGTTGACTAGATATTTTTGTACTCCCACTCAGGTTTACTCAAGTTGGGCATGCCTGGCGACTTCTCAAGCGTGTGGCGTCAGCAGGGAAGAGGGAATGAGGGCGAGATACATAAGTAGCTTCTCATTAAAGCTTAACGAAATTAATATTGCATAATAGTGGGATGTATGCAACGTTACATTGGTGGTGACAAGAAACGCAGTCTCATGGCAGAGTTTCTGTGCACCGGGGAAATGGCTCAATGTTCTACGCTAATGGGGTTGACAGCCGAGGTTACTTTCTGTTCTCTTTCAGGGCCTACATGGTGACTAGCAGTGAGCTATTATGTCACTGAAAGTGCTAATTGTGTTTCTTGTATGAAGCTATCGCATGCTGCTACACAGAATATGTCTTTGGATTATTATGACAAATAACCTAGTGTGATTAGCAGTTTCCAAGCTAGTAGCAAATATGATTCATATATGCTAGGCGTATGCTAACTAGTCTGGTCACAACTAGCATCCATTCATTATGATTTATATACGTCCAATCTGTTCTAACTGGTCCAAATAGTGTCAGTTCATTATGCTTGCTAGCTGGCATGACTCATATACGTCAGGCATTTGTTAACTGGCCCCAACTTGTGTCAGTTCACTATGATAGCTAGCTGGCATGATTCATATATAATAGGCATAAATTGCTGTTGTTGGAAGAAAACCTCGTATCTTTAAAATGACAATTTTACAGGAGAAGGAAAAAAACAACTTTACATTTAATGTAAGTCAATGGAACCAGACGTTTTTCCAAGTAATTCTGGGTCATTTCTTTTGGTCCATTCTTCAGGAAACTTACACACAATGTAAAGGGGACAGGTATTTTCAAATTATGTCAAAAACCAAAATACGACAAAAATGGAGATACAAGGTTTTCTTCCGACAGCAGCAATATGCTAACTGGTCCCAACTAGCATTCATTCATTATATTACTCATAGGAATATATTTTTTCATATGCAAGATACAGTTCAAATACATTGTTTCTTTCCAAAATGTATTCCAAACACTAACATTAACTTGTTTTTACATTTTTTAAAGAATACTTTTTCCATATATTTTTACCATATTGGGATATATAGCTAGCTACCATTATTAGTATATGCTAGGCCTAAACCAGGGTTCTTCATGTGTGTTCCTGGAGGGCTGAAATTACCAAACTGTTCTGGACACTGGCCCTCTAGGACCCTGGCCTATGCTAACTTCTCACAAGTAGCATCCATTCATTATGCTAGCTTCCTAGTATGATTGATGTATGTCAGGTCTTTGTTAACTGGTCCCAACTAGCATTCATTAGTAGCAACATTAGCTGGCATTTCTAGAGTCCCTTTAAAAGGAAGAATGTTTAGTGTTAACAACAAGGTTGTTACTACCCTCATGTTCCCTCACAGGAAAGTGAGGTGATGAACCAGAATGAAAGGCCACAACTACTTACCAATACAGGCTGCCTTACTGACAGCCAGGCCTCATCTAGAGGACATGCTCTGAAGTCATAGCTGTGCATGCGTGACCATGAAGGCATAGGTGCATGAAAGTCATCTCACGCATCACCATTTGCAATATAGTGTGCCTGAATATTTATTAGCCATATCCTCCACCACGGCGGATATAATAGGAGCGTCTTTAATATCACAATAGCGGGTAAAATTTGTTTAATTAGCATTGTTTGGCATGTAATGGTTCCCCTGTGGCTTTAGGTGTGTGTGTGTGGGTGGGTCGGTGTGTTGAGTGCAGTGTGTGTGTGTGTGTGTGTGTGTGTGTGTATGTGTGTATGTGTGTATGTAGGCTATGGAGTTTTGAAAAAGCTGGCTGGCTTGGGGATACATTCTACTGGCCAGGGGAAGAGAGGCGTGGAAGAAGGCGCAAAAGGGAAAGGCATGACGCAATCCAGAGAGAGAGAGAGAGAGAGAGAGAGAAAGAGAGAGAGAGAGGTATAGTGGGAGTGGAGAGGCACGGTTTAGTCAAACAGAGCCATCTAGTGGCCACTAAGTGTAAGGACTCTTATCTGAGCCAGAGAGAGAGAGACATACATATGCATCTCCCTCTCTTTTACTGTTGTTTACCTGCATTTGAGAGACAGAGGCTTCTCTTGACTTTACACAGTTGTAAACACACATGCACACACTTGTTTACATACAGTGACAAGAGATGAAGTCGTACAGATGTCCTATATTTATTATATAGACCACTCTTTTATTCATTTATTTCATTCAAAACAGCCATTAAAATAGAGTTGCTGTTTTTTGTTTTTAGCAGAAAGCATACATTAAACAGAGAATCACACAGAAGCCTTAACGAGTAAACATAATACCAGTTTTTAGCATTCATTTTGTCCACCTTTTGCTTTTATTACCGCTTTGATTTGCTTTCAGTTTTTCAAGGAAGTCTGCAAGGATATTTTTCCACACCTCCAAAATTCAGTCTTAGACCTTGGTTGCATTTTCTGCTCCTCAACATCATCAGTCCAAAAACCTTTGTCCACATTTCAGACGTCCAGTTTTGGTGTTTTAGTGCAAAGCTTCTTTGTCTATTTCCTTTTCTCAGTTACAGCTTCTTGACAGCTACACATCCTTTCAGGCGCGTAGCACTGAGTTGTCTTCTTACAGTGGACGGATGAAGAGAAACACCTGCAAGAGCTTGATTTCCTCCTCTCTCTCAAAGATGAAAGTACTGTTTATATATATATATATATATATATATATATATATATATATATATATATATATATATATATATATATATATATACTGCTCCTGACATTATAGGTTATATGTGTTTTTCTCAGCTCAGAACATTTTTATCCCATAAATGTATGAAAACAAGTACACACACGCACACACAAACACGCATACACACACACTGGCAGTATAACAGTCCTGCAGGCAGGTATCTGTGAGCTTGTATATTATTTTATTCTGATGGTGCCGTTGGGAGCCATGACTCAGACTCTACCACAATTACAATGCACTTCTCTCTTTTTCTCTCTATGAACTATCTCCCCATCTCTCTCAGTCATACTGTCCTCTCTTGCCCTCTGTTAGTTCTGCATCTCGATCTGTCTCTCTCTTTCCTTTTGTCATTCAGAGCAGCAAACAGAGTGTGATAATCAAAGCTGGAGTTATTAAACACCCCTCTCTCTCTCTCTCTCTCTCTCTTTCTCTGTAGCCTGCAGCAGTGCTCCTATAAACATGAAGGTGCTCCCTCTGAATAAAACAGCGCTGGTGGTGCGATGGTCCCGCCCAGAAATCACCTACGACCCTCCCATCATCAGCTACCTCATCAGCTACAGCTGGACTAGAAATGAAGAGGCCTACGAGGAGACGTACGTCCAAGGCAGCGACCAGAAACTGGTAAGCCGTTCTGTTTTTACATGTTCATCTATTATAAATATACAAATATACAATAGTTTTTACACACAGTGTGCTAGCATGCAGTTTGGGACTAGTAACGCAGCGGTAAATCTCAGCCATTTAGCTTTCATTTATTATCCCTACAGCAACAAATCAAATAAAATCAAGGCAATACACTCAAATATATCAGTTAATACACTTTAAAAATGCGATTTAACAAAAGGTGATAACTTAAAAATAACATGTTTTACTGCCTTTGCTGGATTGGTTATATATTTAACTCATTACAAATCGCCCCAGCACTGCTGTGAATGAACTTGCTGCCTGCCAAAATGGTGGTAGCGCGTTTGTGACATTATCAGAATACTATCAATAAGCTTTCATCACTTGTTAGCTACATTAGGTCCAAAACTAAAGAAGCAAACTTCAGACACCAAACATGTCCTAGCTGATTAACTACGTTTGAGAAGTGGGGAAAATTGTGTACATTAAATATTTCACCTAAGTGTTCCTTTGAAGCATGCTTAGCTGTACTGCTGAACCTCCAAGCTGTCCCGCTAACAGCTAGCCACCTTGCTGCCATTAGTGTTATGTTCACTCATACTTTAGCATAATTTACAATAATGCAGGGCTTCAAGACATGGAGAGCACTTCCAGCTCTAATTCTGTATTCATCCTGTTGCCCTCTGTCGCTGTTATCTTTGAAGTAGCACATTAGGTGCATTCATAATGACCCGCTCCCAGCTGGGGCCGGCCTGCTATAGAGCACACCTGTAGTTATTTAGAGTTATTTAGACGCTCCTGTACTCACTCAGTAATGCATCTGCTCTACTCCATTGAGCTAAACAGCGCAGATCAGTCTTTCCTGCAGCAGGGCAGCAGGTCCAGCAGCGGCTAGAGACCGTATTTTTGGATGTTGGGAGGGGTGGATCTCAGCAGGAGTGGCTGACCTTCACGTCCAGTGTTTGGAAATACTAATGTGGAGCCAGCGCGGCCCTCCGAGCACTTAAGAAGCGAGATCAGGTCTTAACGTCTTTCTCTCGGCGAGAGTTTTATTCAGCAGAGCCGCAGGAATTAATGAAGGGACGTGAGCGCTGAATCTCTCTCTCCGTCTCTCTCTCTCTCTCTCTCTCTAGAGGGGGTAAAGAGTGGAGTTTTCTTTCTTTTCTTTCCTTAAGCTGCCCTCCGCATGATCGCTAATGAAATCACAAGCACCATGGAGCCTCAGCGGAGGCCTTACCCACAATCCATTTCCCCCTTCTTCTCTCACTCCCATTTTCACACTCGTACACTCTCCCTCTTTCATGCTTTTTACTTCTCTCTCTCCCTTTCTCCATTCTCTCTGTCTGCCTCTGTCTCTGTTTTTCTCTCTCTCTCCTATCTCTCTCTTTCAGTCTCTTCTTTCTCTCTTTTTCTCTCACACCCTCTCTCCTCCTTCCCTCCCTCTTTCTTTCTATCTCTTTATCTCTTGCTTTATCTGTCTTTCAGTCTTTTTTACACTCTCTTTCCTTTACATGCGTTTTACTTCTTTCTCGTTCTCTCTCTCTTTTATTCACTTTCTTCAATTCTACACACGTTTCACACTTTTTTATTTCTCTCTCAGGTTTCTGTCTGTCGGTCTGTCTCTCTCTCCCTCTTTCTCCATTCTCTCTATCTCTCTCTATCTATGTCTCTCTATTGTTTCTCTTTCTCTCTCTCTTGCTCTCTCTGTGTATCTCTTTTCTTTCTCTCTCTTTTTCTCTCTCACTGTCCCTCTTTCCTCCCTCTCTCTCTCCACCTATCTCTCTCTTGCTTTATCTGTCTTCTAGTCTTTTTACACTCTTTCCTTTACATGCTTTTTACTTCTTTCTGCCTCTCTTTTATTCTCTTTCTTCAAGCCTACCTTTGCACACACTTTTTATCTCTCTCTCTCTCTCTCTCTCTCTCTCACAGGTCTCTCAGGTCTCTATCTCTCAGGTTTGTGTCTGTCCGTTTGTCTCTCTCTCTCTCTCTCTCTCTCTCTCTCTCTCTCTCTTTTTTTTTTCCCTTTCTCTCTCTTCTCTCTTTTCTTTTCAGCACTTCATTTCCATTTTTATTCTCAATTTCCTCCCAGGACGCTGCCGCTATCTGGGTCACATTAGGGACTGCTGTGGTTTTATGAAGAGAAAAAAAAAATCCTTCTCCCAAATCAATGGAGAATCCACTCTAGACCTGCCGGCTTTTACAGCACCCACCCGCACCAGCCCACGAGCTGGAGAAGAATAAAAAAAGCCCTCCTTAACAGAATTAAACTGAGCAGGACTGGCATAAAATCAAAACGGAAGAGTTGTAGGGGGAGCGCACATCATGTGTTGACGAAGGGTGTGATATTAAATGGTGCGGAAACTCGACAAAAAGTCCTTATCAAATTTTTTGAAGCTGCACCCACCCAGAGCTGAAGAAGAGAATGGAGTACAGGCAGTAGAGGCAAATTTTCCAAATACAAAACAATATAATTCATTATACATTCATCAGCCACTTTATAGATGTGCAGTGAGAGACTGTAGACTCTCTGTTGACAAAATTTGTGTTTGCCGTCCTCTATCCCTTTATCAGTGGTCAGTTTCTGACCACAGAACTGCTGTATGTCTGCCACTGCTGTGCTGATAATGCTGTGCCCACCACTCAACCTAACTAACCAGTGATGAATGAGATAGATGGAGGTGGATAAATTGTTCATGACAGCAGGTGGACTACAGTCAGTAATTGTACACCTGCATAGACCTGGACCAATAAGGTAGGTGTTTCCAATAAAGTGGCCACTAAGTGGACATACAGTGCAGATGTTTCTGATAAAGTAGCCACTAAGTGGATATACAGTCTAAATGTTTCTAATAATTTTGGCTAGTGAGTGGACGTACAGGAAGGTCATTCTAATAAAGTGGCTAGTTATTGAAGGTATAGAGTAGGTGTTTCTACTAAAGTGGCCTGTGATTGGAGGGTAAGGTGAGTGTTTTTGATAAAGTGGCCACTGAGTGGACGTGCAGTGCAAATGTTCCTAATAAAGTGGCCACTGAGTGGACATACAGCATAGATACTTCTAATAAACTGGCTAGTGAGTGGACATAAAGCATAGATGTTTCTACTAAGTGGCCATTGATTGGAGTTATAAGGTGAGTGTTTCTGATAAAGTGGCCACTGAGTGGATGTGCAGAGCAAATGTTTCTAGAAAAGTGGACATACAGCACAGATGTTTCTTATACATTGGCTAGTGAGTGGACACACAGGGAGGTCCTTCTAATACAGTGTCCAGTTAATGAAGGTATAAGGTAGATGTTTCTAATAAAGTGGCCAGCGACTGTAGGTATGAGGCGGGTGTTTCTGTCAAAGTGGCCAGTGAGTGGACATACAGGTCGGTGTTTCTAATAAAGTGGCCAGTGTTTGAAGGTATAAGGTAGATGTTTCTAATAAAGTGGCCAGTGAGTCGATGTACAGCGCAGATGTTTCTACTAAAGTGGCCAGTGATGAGATGTATAATATAGGTGTGGCTAAGTGTGGAAGTATGAATGAATAAGTATAAGGTGTTTCTCATAAAGAGGACAGTGAATGTAGTCACAATAAAACCATAATCACACCATGTATTCTTCTGTGAAATACAGTGATTTTATGCATTCAGATATATTCAAATGTGTTAGGAAAGAAAGAAAAGGAAATGTATTAATTCAAAAGAGGAAATTTAAAAGTTATGAAAAAAATAACTAACATGAAATCCAATCATTGGTTTACTAATAAACTGGCTTTTTGGCTTTTAACTGACCATAATAAAAAACAGATATACTAGATGATAAATGATCATTTAGTTGTTTCTAGTGCCAGTTTATTTGCATAAATAAATAAGCAGCTCCTATAAACATCACAGTACATAATAAAGATACGTTCCCAAAGCTGGACACACACACATGGAATCTGTAGTGTATAATATATTTCCATCTTTTCCATCAGCAGTCATTATAACTGAGATGTTAACTGCATTATTGTGGTGTTTTCTCAGTGCAGCAGTGTTCATGACTCCCTCCCTGTCTTAAATCCTGAAATTAAGCGTTTTATTAGTGGTAAATAATTCATGTGACAGGCCAAGTTCACACAAACTCGGCGTGCATTCTGCAGATGAGCATTTCCTGCTCATGTTTGCTGAAAACATGAGTTAATTGCTCTGAAATGGCAAACCAACACCCAACTCAGTGTGAGGACTGCTCTCTCATTCCCTTTTTTCTCTTTCCTCTCTCTCTTTCTTTCTCTCTTTCTCTTGCTTCCGTTTCTTTCTTCTGTTTCTTGCTTTTGTTTTTCTCTCTCATGTCTCTCTCTCATCTCTCCCTCTCTCTCTCTCTCTCTCTCTCTCTCTCAATGTTTCTTTCTCCTGTCTCTTACTCTCACACCTACTCTCTCTGTCCCTCTCTTCTGCTTCTCTCTCTCTTCTGTCTCTTTGTCACTCTTTCTCCCTCTCTTCTGTCCCTCACTCTCACTCTCTCTCTTTCTCTCCCTCTCTTCTGCCTCTCTCTGAGTGTTTCTCTCTCTCTCAAACTTTCTTCCTATCTTCTGTCTCTCTCTCACTCACTCTTTCTCTCTCTCTCTCTCGCTCTTTTTTCCTCTCTGCTGCTTCTGTCTCTCTCTCTTCTATCTCTCTCTCACTCTTTCTCCCTCTCTTCTGGCCCTCACTCTCACTGTCTCTCTCCCTCTCTCTCTGTCCTTCTTCTCAGCCTCTCTCTTAATGTTTCTTTCTCTCTCACTCTTTCTTCCTCTTCTGTCTCTGTCTCACTCACTCTTTTCTCTCACTCTTTCTTTTCTTTCTCTCTCTCTCACTCTTCTCTCTCTTCTGCTTCTTTCTCTCTCTCTTCTATCTCTCTCTCACTCTTTCTCCCTCTCTTCTGGCCCTCACTCTCACAGTCTCTCTCCCTCTCTCTCTGTCCTTCTTCTCAGCCTCTCTCTCAATGTTTCTCTCTCCCTCACTCGTTCTTCCTCTCTTCTGTCTTTCTCTCACTCACTCTTTCTCTTTTTCTTGCTCTCTCACTCTCTTTTTCACTCTCTTCTGCTTCTCTATCTCAATTTTTCCCTCTCTTCGCTGCCCCCCCCCCTGTCTCTCAGCATTTCTTTCTCTTCTCTCTTCCCAGTAGTATTTTGGCAGACAGGGTCAGACATCCATGTGTGTGAGTGAAACATTTTCTTTCCTGCAGGTGCAGTATGCACTCACAGTGCCTGTTAGTGTTTCCTAAATTGTTTTACGCTCCTGTAGAGTGTTTTAGTGGGAATGAACCTTAAAAGCTTCAGTCAGTGCTTTCCAGGCATGTTCAGCAGGTCTGAGACTGGCAACAACACTGATGGCAGAAACATATCACTGGTAGAAAAAATCAAATAAAAGGCAATTCCGCGAATTTTTCAAAATTTCTGCGTAATTCAAACGTGAAGTTGTCAGAGAGGTTTGGTGTGAAACGCTCTATTCTAGAGAAACTTACTCATTTTTTTGAAGCGGTGGCTTGAGTTTGGTGGTGCTATAGCACCGGTTGGAAGACATAGAAAGAAGGGTCAGCGGTAGTTGCTAATGCTAGCTAACCATTTTGTGTTGTAAGAAGTTTGAGAACCCAAATTTTGACAAATAGAGGATCGTACTTATTATTTATCAAAAAGAAAAAGCCTCCTCGTCATCAAAGAAGTGAAAACCTGACGGCCACTTTAGGTTCTACTACACGCTTTGGGGGGGGGGTGAGGGAGGATTATTCATTTGGTCACAGTCTGCTAGATGCCACCAAATCTTAGCCACTGCACCTTTATTACAGGATATCCGATCACTCAGTAAGTTTAAAGGTTTACTTCTTCTTCTTCTTTTTCTTATTTTTATGACTTTAATGATTTTAACTCTCTGATCCCACAGTCTGATCGGGAGTGGTATGCTTTTTGATCGGACGTGTTTTTTGTACAGTCATCATTAAATTGTTTTTTTTCCAAGAGGAAACCATGGGGAACCATAGCAACCACTGAGCAACACCCTAGAACACTAATTGAACAATATCAAAATTTTTTAAAATGTACAAAAGTCATTAGGCATCATCTAATTTTAATTCTGTAAGCAGTAATTTTATAATTGTACAACAAAAGAAATGTTCACGTGATCTTACATGATGTCGTGTTTGAATGTCAGGCCATAAAAAAGTGCAATTAATTTGGCTTTGAACTTGTTTTATTTATTAATAATAAGTTTCTCATTATAATTATAATAATAATGATTCTCACTCTCACTTCCTCTACCTCTCTCCTCCTACAGCTCACTTCCTCAACCATCTGCTGAACACGCTCTTCCTCTTTTTCTTCTCTTTCTTTTCGATTTTGCTGCATGCTTCCATGGAGCTCCTGCTCTGGCTCTGCTGGTCTTCTCCTACCACCTGTGTGGTTCATACTTTCAGGGCTTTCTCTGTCCTTTGTGATCCTCCTTTCTTTTCTCCTCCACTCCTTACAGGTTCTCTCCCTCCATCCTGCCAGCATTCGTCTCCATGGTTCCTCAGCTTCTGCCTGAACTTCAGCAAACGCCTTTACAAACTTGGCCTCCAGCTGCAGTTGGTGCAGTCTTTTGCTCCTTGCCAGCTTCTGCTGCTCTCTCTCACTTTGCTCCTTCATCCTCCTCTTTTCTTTCTCTACCTCCATTCTGATCTTCTCCACCTCTACCTGACTCTCCCTCCTCATCATCTCTTTCTCCCTCTCCCACTCTTGCAGTCACGCCTGCTCCCTCTCTTTGAATTCCCTCTCCATCTTTTCTTTCTGTGTCTCCAGCTTTTCATCCACCTCTCTCCTCAGCTCCTCCATCTCCTTTATCCACACTTCATGAGTGTCTTGAAGGACCTTCAGTTGTTTTTTTATCCTCATTTCTCTCACTCCTCATCCACCAGATCATTCTCCTCAGCTCCAGCTTCTCAGCCTCCTCCTCCTGCATGTATTGCTCCATCCATTTCTTCTCTTTCTTCCTCTCCTCCTCCATCTTCCCCCTCTCTTCCTCCATCTGTTTCCTCACCTCCATCATGATCCTACTCTCTTTCTCCAGCTCCTTCTGTTTTTCCTCTGCCTTCTTTATATACTCAGCCATCTCCTTTCTCTCCTCTGCTCTTTCTCTCTCCATCCTCTCCCTGTATTCCTTCATCTCCTCTCTCTTTCTCTCACTCCATCTGCAGCCTCTTCCTGCATTCTCTCATCTCCTTTCTCTCTCTCTCTCGCTCCTTCTCCATTCCCTCCCTGGCTTTCTCCATCTCAGAGATCTTTCTCTCCATCTCCTTCAGCCTCTCCTCCAGCGCCTTTTGTTCCTCCCTCCAGATTTTCGCATCTTTCTTTCGTCTCTCCTCCTCCACCCTCAGGTTCTTCTTGATCTCCTCCATTAATTTCTCAATCTCTCTGAGGTGTTCCTTTTTCATCACCGTTATCTCGTTCTTCACCTCCCTCATGGAGTCTGCGTTTGCTCTCAGCTTCTCCATATCCTCCATCCAGGAGTCTTTCTCCTTCATCATCCTCCTCTCACTGTCTCTGTACCAGTCTTTGAGAATTTCTTTGGACTGGAGTTCAGTTTCAGTCCTGTTAAATTCTCTCTCTTTCAGCAGTTTCTGGAGGACCCATGTCTTCACCTCCTTAATTTGATTTTCAATCCGCAGCTTATCAAGCGACATCACTGGTTAAAGAAAACAGTTGCGTTATTTTAAAAAACTTTCACAAAACAGCAATGCAATAAAACAGAGCTTTAAATTGAGAAATTAAGCTTACTTGTAGCCAATGCTGCTTCTTTTTCCTCTTCCTCTTACAGTAGAAAGAAATTCTTTTGCTGTTGTAGTTGTTTTTAATAGTATTAAAGTAGTATTTTTATCCGACAGTATACAGTGTCCAGAGTAACATTTTTTTTTCCACTGGTCCCCTGGGCCGGTAGATCAGAGTTTACTGGCCCTTTGTATTTGTGTACTGGCCCAGGAGAAAAAAAGAGAAAAAAAAAACAATTGTTTCCAAAAACCTGTTAACTTATTAATCATATATACACTGTAATGACGTGTCCAAAGAACACAAGTACTGACTCATTTTCTTCTTAGAATATTTTAAAGAATTTAATATCAGTTAATACTAATTAATATGTAATTGCTTTAACTTTTGCTTTAATTAATATTGTGGCATCACCGACATACTTTTTTACCGGCCCCAGGTCATCGGGCCATTGCTTATTAGATTTCCTTTTATTGTCACTGCATGTTTACCTACAATGAAAATTACAATTACATTGTAGGCTGTCGCCTCACAGCAAGAAGGGCCTGGATTCGATTCCCTGGCCGGGCGACCAAGGTCCTTTCTGTGTGGAGTTTGCATGTCCTCCCCATGTCTGCGTGGGTTTCAGCTCATACATACACATATATAAAAACATCTAACAGCTCACGCGTACAGTCTTAGCAACCATATGCATCCTTTCAAAATGTGTACTTCACAGGTTCAGCTAATCAATAATAAAGAAGATATTGCTCAGTTGTGTCTATGAGGTGCCTTGTTTCATTGCAGAGATCAGTGTGGTGATGGCTTGAGGTGCATTGTTTGTCACTTATGTTAAACGCTGGTGTTTACGTGTGGGAAAACTACTATCTTGGTGTGGTGTGTACTAAAGAAATCAAAACTGGTGGTAAATGGATTTTTAATATTACCGCGATAACTTGATTAACCACCAGGCCCAGGCCTACCTGAGACATTATTTGACAATGGTTTTATGTTAAAGGTTTCATTTGGACTAAAATGTATTTAAAAAAAGTCTATTCATGGTCAGTGTGGGACATCATAAGGCAAAATAATAAAAATAAAAAATTTTAATCTTTTTTAATTTTAATTTTTAATAAAAATTTTAATCTTTTTTTTTTCAGATTTTCCACTGTTTTGTATAAGAATTTAGAAGACGTCTGTAGGTTCACTGATCATTTTGGATAAAAAAAATTGACTATGACCTCTGCTTCCTATCACCATCAGGGTAAAAAAATCAGAGTTGTTATGTATCTTTCGAATATACCATTTCACATCAGACCACTGTGAATGACTTTGTTTGCATCTCAGTGATTGAATTCTGCTGAAAATTCGAAAAATCAGCAGAATCCCCCTTTAAAGAAATCTGCTGGCAGGTGAGTTACGTGTGAGTGAGTATAAAACTGTAGAGATGTTGAATGTACTCCTCCATTCACTGTGTAGCTGTTGCTCACTGAACCTGAAATATACATCAGTGTTTCTTATTCGCAGGGGTTTAGACGCGTGTGCAGGCCCGAGCTCGTCCTTCCTTTGTGTCATGAATCAAAAGCACGCTGTGCCTGTCTGAAGATAACACACACTCACATCACACACCCCTCTTACAGGTGTTCCTCTGCTTTCCCTCAGAGCCCCCCTGAGAGACCCCCACAGCACACTTACTCCAAGTCTTTCTCTGTCTGTGTGCCTGTGTTTCAGGAGGCTGTTATCAAGCCAGTTTCTCCAGATGTGCTGTATCTCTTCCGAGTCCAGGCAGTGTGCTTGAACGACAAACGCAGTGACTTCAGCCAGAGCATGCTCTTCAGAGGTAAACATGCACTAGGGATGCACCGAAATTTTGGCTGCTGAAAATGGTTGTAGGCAGCACTTTCCGTTTCAGACCGAAAGAGAGAAAATTGAGCCAATCGGGCAAGAGTAGATTGGTCTTTCTCATAAATGACAAATGTAGCTGTTTTTGAAAGTAGAGAGAGGCAACAACTTTCTCTTCTTAAAAAAAACACTGTTTGTCCACTATGCTCTCCTGTACTGGTCAACACAGACACATTCAAACAGTTTGAGTGGCAGTGACATAGAAACAAACGCTGTGGCTGCAGCTCAGACCTACATTCTGTGCTGTCTTTAGCTTACACACTTTTCTTTTAGCTTTAACTAATTTAATTAATTTAAATTTTACAACTCATCTAATGTTATGTAGCACCCTGAGAAACCCCCAGCAGAGACTCTGGAAAATGTACTTTATATTACATATTTTATATTTTATATAGTATATTATTTAATATCATTTAGCAATCAATTTTGTCTTTCATAATGGTTTTTGGTTGTCTTAAATCATTTTTATTCCTGTGCATCACTAATACACACACACACACACACACTTGTGTTCTTATGCTCTTTCCATTTGTCATGGCTCTGCATCTTATTTGTAATTTCAGCAAACACCACCAGAATATTTGAGGGGACGAGGATAGTGAAGACAGGAATGGTAGGTCTGCTTTCATCCAGCAGGGGGCAGCACTGCATCCCCAATTATATACCACATTAGGAACTTCTATAAACATGAATTCTAATGCTTCTCTTTTTATGCTCTCCCTGCCTATCTCTCTTCTTATACATGCTCTCTCACTCTTGCTGTGTCTCTCTGTCATACATACGCTCACTCTCTTTCTCCTTATCTCTTTCTCTTACTTCCATCTGTATCTTTCTCCTAATTTCTCTCTTCTCTCAGCCCACCGTCTCTCCAGCCTCCTCTGCTGATATGGCCCCCATCAGCTCTGGCTCATCCACCTGGACCTCCTCAGGCCTGCCCTTCTCTTTCGTCTCCATGGCAACAGGTATCGGCCCCTCCTCCAGCGGCAGTCAGGCCACTGTGGCGTCCGTGGTGACCAGCACGCTGCTGGCTGGCCTGGGCTTTAGCGGCGGAGTCATCTCCTCCTTCCCCAGCTCTGTCTGGCCCACCACTAGACCCCCACCATCCACCCCCACCACCGCAGCGTCCAGCCGCCCAGCACCGGCCAACCCTGTGACCTCTGACCCTGAGCCCACAGCTGACCCCACCACTGCTAAGGCTGAGAAAGAGGGATCAGATGATGGAGGAGAGAAGAGCGGCAAAGGGGAGGGGGAGGAAGGCGAGCGAGATGGCGAGGAAGAGGAGGATGAAGATGAGGAGAAGGTAGGGGTGTCATTTAAGTGTGAGTTTTGTCTCTGTAGAAGATTTGCTAACTTATTTTGGCTTAGAAAATCAACAGAACATGTCATTTAACAGGGGCTGTTTAAACCCCCTAAGTGATTTGCATGTCTGTTGATAAAAAATAAGTGGCTATAGTGCACAATCCAAGTAGACTGACACCAAAATAAATAATAGAAACCAAAACTTAATTGGATTTGCCATGACAAAGTAACATACTCACTTATGTAAAGTGTTTTCGAGAGCCTCAGTGCTGAAGCCTAATCATAGTTACGTTAGCCTAGTTGGTTACAGTAGCTTTATCTAAAACTACTGTAAAAACAACGTAACAATGTAAGTTTAGCAAACAGTACCAATATAGGCTCTAGAAAATGCTGTGTTCCGTGGTTATGTCTGAAAACACATGACAAATACTCATGGTAGACTGCTACAAGTATTGAAAATGTTAAATACAACCCATATAAGGTATTAAAAGCACATCAGTTTTGATATTGTGTGGACCACTGGCGTAGACGAGCCCTCTTGAGCATTGTAGATGACGCTAACCAGTACATTTTCCACAGAAATGTAACCCATTGTTCACTTGACAAAGAATGTTGGAACATTGTTTGTATTTGTTTGACAAAGAGAACGTTGAAATCAAACATTTTTTGCTAATTTTGTTTTGTTATTAATTTTCATAAAAAATTTAACAACCCCAGGAGAAGGTGAAGAATGCTCCAGACGACGTGGACCCACAAGCAAACTCCTCGGTGGCTAAAGAGCCTCCCACGGCCGCACCAGACTCCACTGCTAAGGAGAAAGGAAGAGTGAAAGCGGAGAACAGCACAGCGCCATCTAGTGTTCCAGAGGAGCAGGTGGAGAGACACACTGAGAAAGCAGAGGAAGAGGAAACGACAGTGACCCCTGGCATGGAGCCGGGGAGTGGAGGGAACGAGAGTATGATACCGCAGGCCCCAGAGAGCCCCCCTCGGGGAGGCAAAGCTGGCGTAGGAGACCGGAGCCAATGGCCTTTCTCCATCCATACAGGTCAGTGCAGCCCTGCAGACTAAGCCCCAAGTCGGGACAAGGTCTTAGCTTGGGTGGAAAAAGCCCCAGCTTAGCCAGCAGTTAGACAGGTAGCTTGCTGGTTTTGCGAGGTACCGTAACAGTAAGTTAGCAGCTAGTTAGGGTGCTGTAGTTAAAAAAATTTGAAAATTAAAATCAGTTCATCAGTTTGTGTTTGAGAGCTAATGTGGTTGAGGAGCTAGCTAACTCTAACTGTTATTCTTTTATGTGAGGGAATAGTCTACATCTGCTCAAGCAGGGCTTCGCTGTCAGGCACCCACTCAGCCTGGTGCTTCACATCACCCTGCAGGACTGCGGCTAGATGCTACTGAGGTAGTCTCAGCCTCAGGCGCCCACACGAACATGGAGCATCTGATATCTGTTGTACGCTAAGCTGGCCACAACTATCAGGATTTTGTCAGTTCATGTTTTCTTGCCTCATTTTAAAAGTCGCCTACTCCTACATGGCACACAAAAACATCAGTCTGTGGTTGGTTTCTTTTCCTATCAATCAGGAGGCAGTTCTTGCTAGAAAAAACAGCATAGACCAGCACAGCTGGTCACCAGCAAAACCAAAACAAATGGTTGGTTGAGTGGTATGACAAACTACAACACCTTTTAAGTTATTGCCCTTAAATGCGTTCTCCTGTTACCAGGAGATCCAGATAAGCAAACATGGGCCAGCTTTCTGCTGCTGTTATTTCACGCTGATGCTGATGCTTACGTCAACTCAGAGATGTTTTGACTCGCTACTGCCCTCTAGGGGAAAAGATAAACACATACATCAAATCCTTTCCTAGAGGAGAGGCTTTAGTTCAGCACAGTTTGATGCTTTTCTTAACTCCAACACACCTACTAAACCTGGTAACTGACTGCTGAGTTCTCAGGTGAAGCAAGGTAACTACAGTAATGTGCCGAACTACTGTTGTGTTTACATGCTTGTCAGATGTTCTTATAAAGTCATAAATATAAAGGTTTTTTTTAATTATAAGTATTTTGTAGTCACCTGGGAAGGTGCTGTAATTTGGGCTTACTGACAAGATCCGTGATTTTTTGAATCTGTGAAGTATGAGTCTTCCATGTTGGTAGTTTTTACAAGTCTGCTAAGTAATAATTCCGGAGCAAATGACTTTTAATTAACCAAACTCCTTTAACAATTGTAGTCCTGTTCAAATCAGCATCACAGTAATGTGATAACAACGTTGGATAATAGAAAACCATCCATTATTATAGAAAGCATCCATTATTTCTTTCTTTTTTTGTGCCCTGAAGACAAGGCTAATAGCTAAATGGAGCTTGATTTGACCCAGTTTTTTTGCCGCAATATTTAACATTTAGCCACACAAGGTGGTGTTATCGTTCAGTAGTTTGGGGCCTGACACATAATGCTGAGGTAAATGTCCGCATGATTCCTTTAACTCATTTGAATCGGTCAGTCAAATCGTGCACACATTACATTACTGGACTGTCTCTGGTTAAACTAATCCAGCTCAAATAGGGCTATAGAGGATTTGCTAGAACCTATTTTGCAAATGCACCACTAACATTAGCTGGTTAGCTAGTCTGGTGTGTTTGGTGTCTTGCTAACATGTTAAGTACATAACTAGCATTTATAGATATCAGCAAACGACCAAACATTATGTGCTATGGGCCTATATTCCCAATTTTCCTTGTATAAAATTTCCCCCTTTCACTTCTGATTATTTTGTACATTTTCCAACTTGTATAACTTATACCTCCTGATAACTTTAGTGTGAATGGGTGGGGCTGAACAGGCTGAATTAGCATAAATTAGAGCACGAAAACACTTCCAAATGGGCTGTTTTTGCAGCATAGCTTTTGCCATGTATGAAATGGAGTGAGTGTTACATTTTGAAACTTTAACAGTTTGTTACGTACTACATCAAATGCTTTTATTTGAAAAAAAGCAAGGGAAATTTGATGTGGACCCATTAAGTTACCCTTTGTCACTGAAACTGTGCTTTCCTTCACCATAATGAAAAGATAAAAGTCAGTAAGAAGTCAGAAGCTCAGGTATCAAAATTGGCTCAAAGGTTTTTGCTTTTAATTTTGACCTTCCTGTGAAAGTTTTTAGGTCAGGAACTTGTCATTACAATAATTCTCCTAGCACATGAAGGCAGCATAAGGCTCTCCACAACCAGAGCCGGACACACCTGGTGTACTTCATCTAACTTAACTTTATAAGCCTTCTACTTCAGCTTGTGTAGACATATTACAAATGCTACCTGTCATCTTCCACTTCCCTTCTGTCCACATTCTTTCCATCCCTGCTTTATTGCTAGCTATACAGGAGTCTTTTTTCCATTCAGTTTCTCTTTACTCTCTCTTCTTTTATCACTCACTCTCTCTCCTTTTATCACTCCCTTTTCTCTCTCTTCCTTCTTCTTTGCCTTCCTCATCCCTCTCTCCATCTCTCTGCTTGTTTGGGAGGCAGAAGCTTGGCCTAGTTTTTCTAGTCCAGAGAGGATGAGAGGGAACAGTGTCTCAGCTGCAGGGGAAAAAAAAAGCTTTCTCCATTTTTAGCTCTCTGGCAGCAGAGTTATGTTTGTGTGTGTGTGTGTGTGTGTGTGTGTGTGTGTGTGTGTTTAAGAAGTTGCGTGCTCCCTGTCTCATGCAGGACTGATCAGTGAGGCAGGGAACAGAGAGCGACAGTAGCATCTTAGCATAGCATGCTAGTTTGCATGTCATCTAAATGTGTTAGTGTACAAGCAGCATGGTTCTATGGAGCTTCGGGGGCTCTCACACCCGGGTGCTGAATCACTAGCATGGGGAATGACTCTGCAGTCTGGGACGGTAGGATGTGTGCGTGCGAGTGTGTGTATCTGGGACCGCTTCAGGCAAGCTGGCTGCAGGGACTCTGTGTAATAGAGAAAGACAGATAATGAGGAACGATTGGCTGTTGATGGGGGCATTGTTTTGGAATGCACTTTTTTTTGATTGTGGACAGACAATAGCACATGTGAGGGTAAGAGGATGTGTGTCCATGCATGTGTTCATAAGGGAGCATGTGGTTGGTCAGTGTTGCATGATTAAACAGGGCAAAGTCCACTTTGGCCAGCAAAGCAAAAGCTAAGCATGAGCACAGAAACACATACAATATATATAGTCCAGCAAACTCCATGACTGTATGCGGAAATGAGCTGTGTTGAGAGGATTTGCTCTGTTTGTATTAGGGCTGCATGTCATGGACATAATAGTTGTGGGATATTGGTATGACCATATGAGAAACGAGAAATCAAGATTAAAATATTATCTCTCAGATCTGGTTTGTTTGCTTGTTTGTTTATAAATTGATTATTTTTTATTTATTTACATGCCCTTTCTAAAATTATCTCCCTGAACACCTTTTTCTACAAAAAAACGAATAAATAGTTCCTTATGGTGATGCAGGTTTGTTGTAACAGTAGCTGTTAGGTTAGGACTGAGAACCAGGCATGTGCACAGATAGATCCCAAAGGGGGTCCCTTTTGCCCTCAAACTGTGCTTGGGGTCCAAAACTATTCAAATTTCAAGGTATATATTGCCCTTTGCATGATTGCAGACAGAATTTGAGAAGTAATACGTTTCTTGGAACGTCAGATCTTGCATTTCTATATGAAGTGTGGCTCTTACCTTCTGGCTGAAATGAGTGTGAAGGGATGGTCTAGCTGTTGCGACTCACGTTTTCTCCTCGGATTTAGATGATGTCTTCACAGAGGTGCCCAATCCTCGTCCCGGAGATCTACCACCCTGAAAAGTTTAGATCCAGCACACCTGGCTCTATTATTCAGATGCCCCTGAAGGCCTTCATTACCCTGGTTCATGTGTGTTAGACTATAGTTGGAACTAAACTCTGGTAGATCTACAGGAGTGGGACTGGGGACCCTGGAGTTACCATAATTGAGATATATGCATGAATAATTGCAACGTGTGCAGTGTTGGCACACTGTCGTTGTTCGGTCTACCACTCGTCCCACGCCGTTATTTCACTCAACTGGGTAAACGTAGTGTTCTTAAACCGGAGATGTATGCGTGGATAACTTTGCTTTCTTCTAGCTATTATTTGCTCTCTTCACTCACCATTTCAAACAGCTTGGCTATTCAAGCTTCTCAGGCAGACAAAGCTGAAGCTTTTTATTCACCTGGTTCTTATTCGAATTTTTCTCAGGTGCCAGAGTGTAACAGCTGCACCATTTGAAAGAAACTGGTGAATATGAATCTAACATCAGCTTTGTGAATCACAGTTCATTCCAATTCTGAGAGCTGCGCAGTGGAGGTGTTTATGCATTGATTATTATTGCTTTTAGAAGTATCATAGATTGTGTTAAATAGAGTTATAGAAACCATTCCCCACATTTCATAGCACTAAATCTTACTTACCGAATGTTGTAATTCGATTCACAGCATGTATTGTCTCACAACCTGTGTATAGAACAAATGTATATGAATATGTGTATCGTGACCCCTAGATGATGAAGTGATGCTTCAGTTTGAAATAAGTACATATTGTAAGACTATATTTCCACCAACCTAATGATGGTGCTAAGTGCATGTTATCTCATCTGCCTGTAATCACAGCTGTTGTCGATGTGTTAATTGCGGGAACTCATATGGCAATATTGTTCAAATCACTGTTTACTGTTACTGCCTTGTATAGTTGTTCTGTTTTAACATGAAATTAGTTTAATTGAATTGAATGCAGCTTTATTGTCCAGCCAGGACAGGGAAATTGTCTTTGGCCTCACTATGCATAACACAATATAGACACTGTGCAACAAAAACAACTTGTCATATTAAAAACTTATTATTTTTGTATTTATTTGTTTTACACTATTTGAAAATACTCACTTGCCGTTACATTGTGTAGACATTTAGTGACAGATGAACCAAAATTATTTACAACGCACATTGAAGTTGAGAGCGTTCTTTTTTTCATGTATAAAAATACCTTTATGGGGATGCAAGATTTTTTAGAACAATGACGTACAATATACAATAATATACGTAAATCATAAAAGTATAATAGATGACCTGTTATTGCAATGTGTCCACTTATGTGTGCTTGTGTTTGCGTTCTAGAGCGGACCATAGTCTCCAGTATGCGGCCGGTTCCTGGCTCAGGCAGGATGGAGTGGATTATTCCTCTGGTGGTGGTGTCGGCTCTCACCTTCCTCTGCCTCATCCTGCTCCTAGCTGTGCTCGTCTACTGGAGGTAAGAGAGAAAGAGGACAGGCAGACTAAACAATTTCACTCATTTATCCAAACACAGATTAGTAGACAGTCACTTTGATTCACTGATCCAGGCTAATTTAGTGAGTGAATCGCTCACTCGCCTGACCTGTCCATGCTCCACCCACAAATGCATTCTTTCATAGCTACACTTGCTAGGTTGGACAAGTGTTACAGGACAGGCAAAATCCTGTCCAGCCTAATAAGAAACTGCAACGATCTTTGTTTAGAGGTGCTGGATGATGTTGAGTTTCCAGAGCTGGGCTGTCTGGTTGTAGCTAATGGAAACAAGACAATTTAAAAATGATAATGAATTCATCAGTGTGCTATTGTTAGCATGATTGCAACTACACCCAATCTGTCCTTGACGCATACAAAATATGTATAATTCGAAATAATGAAACCCGAAATGTAGCTGTTTTGACAAAAACTGAGAGCTACAGTTTCTTATTTGGCTGCATTTTTTACCAACGTTCTTTAAAGCTGTAAAGCCAAACTTCACAACCTGTTACAATTATTACGTTATTGCCTGAGCGCAAGTATTTGTTAGCTTTTAATGCACACTATTTCCCACACTATTTATACTACATGTTTTGTTGCTTAGTGAAAAGTTAACACATCCTCTACAGAGAACACACATCTGCATATTTCAGTGCACAATTACGATTAACTTGCTGAATGTAACATACTGGGGAAAAAACTAACGTGGCCTGTGCACAAGTAATTTTTTCCAATGTGTTAAATTCTGCAAATAAATAGAAACCGTGCACTCCAATTTGCCAAAATATTGACTGTAGAGAATATCGTTTCTGACAAAACAAAACCTTGTAGGCATAATTTGAAAATGCCTGTTGCCCCTTACATTGTATGAACCAGACTTTTTTCCAAGTAATTTTGGGCCATTTCTTTTAGTCCATTTATCATGAAATTTACACACAATGTAAAGGACAACAGGCATTTTCAGAATGTCATGAACTGAAAAACGACAAAAATGGAGATACAAGGTTTTCTTCCAACAGCAGCGAAAGGTTTACATTGCAGTGCGTTTTTATCTGTTTGGTTAAGGCAAATGCATTTAAACAAAGCAAAGTGGAAAACACATTTACTAAGACACATCTTTGGTCATATGAAAACAAAATAATATACAGTGAACAAAAAGAGTTTAATTATTTATATGACAATTCATCATCTGCACAAATGTCTTCATTGTGACTGGCCTGTTGATAGGTCAGTTGATTAACTGGTTCAGTAAATCACTGAATCAGTTCACCTGTTGTCTCTTTTTGCCTTTGTCACACTATTAGTCTCAGCTTTATTGCAGCAGAGTCCCGGTCCCACAAGTGTGTGTGTGTGCGTGCCTGTGTGTGCCTGTGTGTGCCTGTGTGTGCCTGTGTGTGCCTATGTGTGCGTGTGCATGGATTTCAGTGCTTGTAATTTATCACCTGGAGACCCTCGCCGTATTCATGGAACCTCTAGCCAGACCAAGAGCAGCTTGTGTGTGTGTGTGTGTGTGTGTGTGTGTGTGTGTGAGGTGTGCGTGATGACCCGCTTGTGACGGTAAGCAAGATAGAGAGGGGCTGTGGCCTCCCTTCAAGGCATCACCATGGCGAAGGTAGTGTCATGGAAACGGTTTCCAAGGTCCTGTTGTCATGGCCGCACCTCAGGCTGGGTGAAAGGGGCTCCTAAGTAGATTTACAGAGAGAGATGGATGGAGAGAGTAAGAGAGCGAGAGAGAGAACAGACATCACTTTCACAAATCCAATACCTTTCTCCATCTGTCTTTCTCTCTGTCTTGTAAATGCTTTTGTTTTCTGGCTCTTGCCCCAGTTTCAGTATAGTTTTATTTTGATCTTTTTAGAGCTCTGCTTTCCCTCATCTTCATTAGTCAAGAGTAAACAAAGTAGTGGTGGGCTATATGGCAAAAATAGCATATGACAAGAATGCATTTTTTTGAAACACGATATGCGTCACTATATTTAGTTATTCATTTGATAAGTTTGAACAGATGAAAAAGAACCAGTAGTGCCACATTTGAAAATACTATTAAAAACAGTAAATACAATGAGTGTTTACATACACTTAATAATTCAATAACTGCAGAAAATCAGATTTTGTCAGTAGGCTGATCAATGTGTTTACATGCACTTGAGTAATCAGATAATGTGAAAACTCTGGGTCTACATGAGTCAGGCAGTAATCGTATTTCTGCTTTGTAACGAGCCAATAAACTCACAGAAGAAGACGTGACATAAACTGAAGCTTTTCTTTAAAAAAAAAACATCGTACCACTTTACATAAATATATGAACATACAGCTTATTTCTGTTACTGCAGTCTGTTTTGCACATGCGGAGACTGAGAAATCCGAAAGAAATCAGAGTAAGAGTTTACATGCACTGAGAAATCTGACTAATGAGCTAAAATCCAGCTCCCTGTATCAGATTTCTTAGTGGGGTTTCTTGATCAGTCTATGGTGTTTACCCTTTGAATATTCAGATACAGAAATGTAGAAATCAGATTATGATCTGATTATTGTGCATGTAAATGTTTCACAGTATGCTCAGAAATATGATGAAATTTATCACAATAATGTTAATATTGTCATATTATCCAGCCCTGAAACAAACCCTCTTTTCTTATTGTCATTAATGGTGCTCCTTACTTAAACCTAGAATATGGAATTGTGGTGAAGACTGGTTAGTATAAAATCAAGTTTACATAATTTCCCTGCTTAACCTTAATGTAGTTGTTTAGCCAAGACAGATCTGTTGTTTGCTTCTTTAGATTTTGGACAAAAGTAGAAATTAAATTTAGGCTTCAGGATGGCTGCTGCTCTATGTAGCTTATTTACAACATAACTTTATATATCTGTATAAGGTATATAATACCTTAATAATAATAACTAACTAAATAAATAAATAATAATTTTTAACAGTGTGCCACATAGTGTAAAACCATTGTATAAGCAAGTCTGCTTCAGATTATCTAAACAGTGAACACAGTTTGAAGCAAAGATGTGATGATTTAGAATATTATTGAGGTAAAAACTTCCATAACCTGCTTAGTTACATTAGCCTCATAGATCCAGTGCAAAACTAAAGACGCAAACTTGAGACACCAAGCATGACTTGGTTGATCGGCTACATTTGAGTTGTCTTTGGCTGCTTTATTTCTTGAAACATCTATTGCGTTATTGGATGACACTCTATTATTCACAACACTTTCGCCCCCTCGCTGTAGATTCCCAGCAGTCGAAGAGCGACTAGGGAGCATAGGGAGAAGGCTTTGTTTTTCTGAACTGTGTCCGGGCATTTTTGTCTGGTCTGCATCTGTTTTCCGGAACTTTCTCCCCTATTCACTGCTGAGTCAGTCTCCTAGGAGCTGTGAGCTTGTTCTCTGGTTGTGGGTATGTTTAGCAAACAGCTCTGGCTGCAGTGCTGGCTGTCCCTTGCCGCTGCCCCGGGGCACCAGCGCCCATCTGCTCCCCTTCACCACTCTCCTCTGGAGCGTACAGTGGGCCACACAGTGTATGTGTGTTTGTTTTTGTACATTTCCAGGACAAAAAGTCCTGACTTTATAGGAAAGCCAGAGCAAAAAAACAGGGCTAACCTACAATCTCAGGACCAATACAGTGGCTCTTTTTGCAAAAGGTACACATATATAATGCATGTGGGACATTTTGGTATCACATATAGGTACTTGCATATACAGAATGGGGTATAGTATTATTATCACATATAAATGCTTACCACTCAATGCACACATGCACTCCTGACCATGGGGGGCAGTGTAGAGCAGCAGTGGCAGTGTGTGTAGGAGTTGTGATCAGGAGAGATTAGCTTGATTACTCCACATCACACTACCTTAACTGCTCATGGCCAACTGAATTACATTATGTAACCCCTGACCTCTACCACACTGACCAGTGTGTGAGTGTCTGTCTGAAGGTGTCACACATGCACAAACACACAGCCCCACCTCCCCACCCCCACACACACACATAAGGTCAAATACACCCAAGCTTTATTAGTTGTGACCAAATATGCTACGTAAGAATGATGTAAGTAAGAACTTGCAGTCAGATGGGTGGCCGCTGGTCAAATAACACATTTTTGTTGATTTTCTAAGTGAAAATAAGTTCACACATCCTCTACAGAGAACACACTAATGCACATTTTAATGCACAGTTACTGTTTTTTGCTGAATTGAAGATATTGGGGGGAAAAATAAGGCATAAAATTTTATCTGAGCAAACGTTATGGCACATTTTATTTTACATGCTTAATCTTTATGTCAAAGTATTAAATTAATAAACTCAATACATAGAAATTGAATTGAAAAATGGATAACACTAACTGGAGGGCAGTGTTCGAAAAGCTATATGATGCCTACATAAGCATGTCACGATAGCCTACATAAACCTAAAAAAACATTATTCCAATAGGTGTCGTCTCTCATAAAGGCTGCATTTGTCAACTTTGATGTCGAATTGTTATAATATCTATGTCAGGTGACATTGATTTTTTTCATGACAATTTCTTTGGGTGAAATGGCTTAGCATGTTGTAACAGCTGACTTTGTAGCTTAGAGTATGTTACAGTGCCATTATACTGATGTGATATGCAGGTGGAAAAAACACAGTGTACACAAAATACAGTAAAATAGAACTTTAATTGCTTCATAATTACCTGGTTGACACAGAAGACACCACAGCATTCACCACCTCTTTGTTTACTTAATAATCTGACTTATAAATGATCTGATTTGAGTACATAGACTGCGACGTAGCATGTTATCCATCACATTGATTTAACAGGAAACAGCAGTTTGTTTGAGCAAATGTATGAACAAAGCGGGATATATAGACTACATGCATAAAAGCTTTTAGACTAAGCTGTGCAGTCAAAGAAACCTGCTTTATTCACAAGTATATTAACTTGAACATTTCTTTGTTAAAACATCCCACTTCCCAGCATGGTGGCACTTCATATAGCACAACACATGCTGTGTGTATGGCACCCCACCTCTTTCGGGGTCTCAACTCAGCAGACAATTTGTATGTAATTTCTTATGTTTGGCAATTTTTTAATCTTGTTTAAACAAATTAATACTTAGGGTTCAGTCCATGGGTGATGTATTAGAAACACTTCTAGCACATATGTATATATTCAACCCTCTCTGTCTCTTTTCTTCTCTTTTTTTTCCATGTGGGGGTTCCTCTGTGGTCTAATGGACAGGATTAAGCTTTTAAAAGCCCTTGGTCTGTTCATTCAAAGTCCAGCTGTCAGAGACTGGCCATCCACTGATGTGTTCTTTATTTGTGGAGAGTCCAGCGATTGTTCTCTAATGCACAGATTCAGTGCGTATAGCAACTCTTCTTATGTAAGCCTTTTTTGCTTTGACTTTAGGTTCGTTGCCGAGCTGCTGTCTTCATACAATGCTAAAAGAGTCTGGATTAGTTCAGAGTAATTGACCTTTGCTCTGTGAATGGTTCATAAATGGTTCTGCATCCTGGCAGGCCCTTTTTCCTTTAAAGTTCTTAAGCAAATCTCCCAGCACCTAATGTCCTGTTTAACCGCTTCAGAGTTGTGTGTGCTAATTACCTCCAGCTCTGGCTCCCCATGCAGCCGCCACAGCTTTTGTTGGCCACATTTTCATGGATGAATTTCAGCACATGAAAGGGAGCCGGAGGCATCCTGAAGGGATTTAACTCTTAGACATCCGGTGCTATCATTGTCGTTTACATAATTATTTATATGAAATTATGTAATGAGCTAAATTATGTAATGAACATTTACATTCTGGATAGGCTAGCTTGAGTCTGCACTTCTCAATTTGTCAAAAATTACAAAAACATTGCAGAAATGGAAAGAATGTTTTTCTTATGCTAAACAAGACTGCGCACACGATGTAGAACCAGATTTAGGAAACTCGGTGGTTACAGTGCTGCACCACTTAAAATGTGAAGCATGATAAAAAAAGAGCTATTCGTAAAGTCACCGTATTGGTGATTAGCGCACCGGTGGTCTTTTTAATGCTGTAGTATTTTCACATCTCCTAGGCAAGAGCCAATCAAAATCCACATGTAAATGAGGCCATACATATTAAAGACCCATGCCAAGTGAAGCTCCTGTTGGCCGCCAAAATAGATACAATAAAAGAGTTAAAGAAAACCAAAATTCTCAGAAACAGAGTTATGAAAGGAAGACATGCTGACAAATAGTAGGAAATGTTTTGATAAATATGCTTTTAATTTTTAATCAAGAAAGTTTTTTTATCAGAAAATGTTTTTACTGTTAAAAAAAAATTAAAATTTAAAAATCTTAAAATTCAACATTTGTTCGTAGAAATTATATATTAGCATGAAAGATATAATTTTTCATTGGTAATAATTCAAGCTTTTTTCTAATTCACTATAATTGCAATATCAATTTATCCCAAGTCTATTGTTGTATAACAAAATATTGGCTGATTCTGGGCTTCAACATTAAAAAATATTCAGTTTATTTCTACAGAGGTTAATGACAAAAGTTGGCAAAATTAGACTCTTGTCGGAACATTTTTTATAAAGTGTTACTAACATCTACACTTCTACTTACAAACACAAATATTGTACTGATGGAAACCTGCACCTTTGATGGATTTTCTATGCTTATTTGAACCTCTTTCAGCAGGCCTAGTCACCATTCCATCAGCAGAGAGCCCCTAGTCACTATTCCATCAAAATATCAAAATATTTTTACCTAATGTAATCTAATAAAATTCTCTGTTATTAGATTAACTAGGATACTCTTGGCTCTCAGTGTGTGTGAAATGACTGTGCCGAGCTGCTAGTGAGCAAAGAGCAGTGAAATAGGATGGCTGAGAACCCCCGCTGTGAAAACAATTCACATGGCTCCACGACAGCCATGCTGAGATAAAACAGACACCACTGCAGCATTCTTAACACCATTTTTAACACCACGTTAAAAGTAGTATAGTGTTAAAAATAGTAAAAATGTAAATATTGACTTGCTTGCTCACCTACAAGGCAAAATTCCACTTTACTTCTGGTTTTGTAAAACACATCATTATCTATATATATATATTCACTCAACGTTATTAAAGAAACTGCCAGATATTGCATGTTAAGAGTGCTTTAAAAAGGGCTTATTGAGCTATGAGTGAAAAACGAAACAAAACATGAGAGGACGTTTCTTAAGGTGTATACATGCACCATGAGGAATGTAGTTAAAGAGGAATTCACTGTTCAGTATTTGAGCATAGTAAATTCATTAAGATGTGAACAAGGTCATTCTGAGAGGTTTGATGTGAAATGCTCCATTCTTTCCAGGACAGAATTTTTGACAGTGGTTGTGATGGGAACCAGACGTCTGGTTAGTTTATTGGCTCTAGTTAATGCCTTAGTTCCCTCTCAGAAGGTTATTAGATGAAATTGTAATGCCTGAGACATTGTTTCATGTCCGTTTTAGGGAATTTATTTGCCTGAATCATAATTTTTAATGTATGTTGGAGAGGTACATACAGGGAATTGTAAGGCAAATTGTACTCAAAGAATGTTTATTTCCATAGTCAACATTACATTTAAAAACACTTGTAGGTTCACTGGATCGTTTTGGATAGTAAATGAAATGGCTGTATTTGTGTTGTGACCTCTGGTTCCTATCACCACCACTGTAAAGAAATCTGAGTTGGTAAGTTTCCCTCGAGTGATGTATTTTACATCAAAAACTCTAAATGACTTTGTTTACATCTCAAAGATTGAATTATGCAAAATTTTTGAAAAGTTGGTGGAATTCCCCTTTAAATTCATGTCTTTCCACAATGATTAGAATCCATCTAGTGCTGCTTCTTTTTTCCTGCCTTCATTTACTGGTCAGACAGCCCAGGGCAAATAAAACAGAAGAACAAAGCGAAGGAGTGTCCAGTCAGCAGGGTGTGTTCGTGTGTGTGTGCCAGTAGTTGCGGGCAGCAGGTGTGTTGGGGGTGGAGAAGGTGGAATGTTAGCTGAAGTTAATCCTATTGAACGCTCTTCAGGCCGCCCCTCTGTCACCTCCCCGCTCTGGCTAATCACCTCACGCTCCACGGCCCATCTCCGGTCAGTCAGGGCCAGACACCACCTCGGGTCTGGAGTCAGGGACGGACACATGGAGCTGACCGTGGGTCAGTGTTTACAGCTCTGACTTCAGCCACCGAGTTAAAATCCGCGTGACACTACAGGGACCCAACCTTGATCCCTCCTCTCTCTCTCTCTCTCTCTCTCTCTCTCTCTCTTGCTTGCTTGCTCTCACTCTCTCTCTCTCTCACCCAATCACTCAAAGACAGCATGCCGGAGCCTCTGTTGTCTTGCTGCTCTTGTCTGCAGATCCCTCGTTCTTTCGGAGGATGAATAGCTTGTGTTCTCTCCTGTGTGTGAAGTACAGGTAGGAAGAGAAACTTCCAAGTGTCTCTCTCCCTCTCTCTCTCCCTCTCTCTCTCTCTCCTCGGACTGATTGCAACTTCTGTCTCTCGTCCGCCTTGATTTTTTCTTCCCTCTCTTTCTCTGAGGGGACTTATCAGCACTGTTTTGTTTCTGTGTAAGGAGAAGGAGGCAAAAAAAGAGAGAGTAAGAGAAAAGAAACAGTTTCTCGTGCACCGGAGCGGATTCGCCTTGACATTCTTGTTATTTTCCGCTGAGAAGCTGTTCAGAGAGGCTGCTCTGTTTCATTTCTTGCCGGGTGTGCACAGGGTTCAGCCTCGAAAGTCACGGCTCTCGCAGGGCTTTCATACTGCCGTGTTCTGTTTGTTTTAGAAGAGGCTTTCTGCAGATAAAACTGTTCCTCACTTGGTTTGTAAGTGTGTGTGTGTGTTGAGTCAGTGTGGTTGTGTTTGCTTTGCTCTTTGGATACGGGTGTAAAGTTCACTTTGATCTTGGCTTGAGTGTGCACCTCTGCCACTGTATACAGTCTACTTTAACACTGATTGTAGTCCGTCATCATATTGCTCACTTACAGAGTCGTGTGCAAAAGTTGCAGCGCGCCTGGTGGCATGAAACGTTTTGTTGGTTTTCTAAGTGAAAGTAAGTTAACACATCCTCTACAGAGAACGTACTTACATATGCAAATTTTAGTGGACAGTATGCTGAGTTTCAGAAATTTGGAAAAAAATAAAACATGAAATATAAAATGCGCCATAACTTTTGCACAGGCCACTTTATGTTTTATCTTTTTCCCCAATATGTTAAATTCAGCAGATAAACTTTGAATATGCATTAAAATGTGCAGAAATGTGTTCTCTGTGGAGGATGTGTTAACTTACTTTAACTTAGAAGATCAACAAAACATGTCATTTACAAGGGGTGCCCAAACTTCTGCACACAACTGTATGTTACACATTCCTAAAAGTAACACTTACATATTGCATATGTATCTTCACTGTACTAAAAATTAGAATGTGTCATAATAACTTTAAAGGAGAAGTCAAAATGTTAGTAACTTTTAATGTAAGTTAAAGTAGAGTTCTATTAAAGTAGCTAAAGGATCATTTCTATTGATTCATTCATGAAATGTTCACACAATGCTGTGTTTAAATGATATAAAAAAATGGAGATACAGTTTTTTTTTTCAAAACATATAACGTAGCATATATATGTAGCGTATTTTCCTATACAAGATATATGCACACTTAAATGTAACGCACAATTGTGAATAGATGATATATGTACACTTAACTATAACTTGCAGTAGTGTATGTAAGATACGTGCATGCTTAAATGCAACTTGCAATAGTATATGTAAGATATATGCTCACTTAAGGGCAACTTGCAATAATATATTATACCGCACACTTAAACGTATCCCGTTATTGCATATATAAGATACTTGCACACTTAAATGCAACTTGCAATAGTAAATGCAAGATATATGCACACTTAAATGCAACTTGCCATAGTATAAGATATATGCACACTTAAGTGCAACGTGCAATAGTAAATGAAAGATATATGCACACTTAAATGCTACTTGCAATAGTATATGTAATATATATGCACACTTAAGTGCAACGTGCAATAGTAAATGAAAGATATATGCACACTTAAATGCTACTTGCAATAGTATATGTAATATATATGCACACTTAAGTGCAACTTGCAAGAGTATATGTAAGATATATGCACACTTAAGTGGAACTTGCAATAGTGTAAGATATATGCACACTCAAATGCAACTTGCAATAGTATATGTAAGATATATGCACACTTAAAAGCAACTTGCAGTTATATATGTAATACATATGCACACTTAAATGTAATCCCCAATATGATATATGCACAGTTAACATCACTTATACTTTTATATGAAAAAAAAATGTATTTTTTTGTAAAGACATAAGCACACTCAAATGCAACTTGCAATAGGACATAAAAACACTTAACTTGCAATACTGTATGTAAGATATACGCAGACTTAAATGCAACTTGCAGTATTGTATTATACACACGTATATGTAACTGGCAATTGTATATAAAAGATATTGTGTGTATATATATATATATATATATATATATATATATATATATATATATATATATATACACATTTAAGTACAACTTGCAATTGTTTATGTAAGATACAGAAACACTTAAATGTAATCCACAGTAGTATATGTAAGGTAGATCGCTCACAATAGTATATGTAAGACATATGCACACTTAAATGTAACTCTCAATAGTAACACATCTCTTTCTTTCTCTCTTTATCAGGAGGTGTTTCCAGACAGCTCATTTCTATGTGGAGGACAGCAGCTCTCCGCGAGTGGTGCCCAATGAGAGTATCCCAGTCATCCCCATCCCAGGTCAGCTACACCACACTACTTTCTGACCAGCCATGCTTACAGTCCAGTGTAGACCTTAAGTCCTCAGGCTGAGCTAAATCCCTGATAAGGGATCAGTAAGAAGGGATGCAATTCGCTGACCTTTGGACTGGTTCTCAGTTGTGTGCTCATTAGTTACACTTTGCTGTTGAACAGTGCAGGCAGATAAAGAGTTTGGTGGAAGTGGTCACTTTACACTGATCTGAGACCAAGTTTGGAGTCGTCCACGCTGATCACAGTCCCTTATCTCAAAAGGTCGTGGCTCGGTCCAAGCATGACACAGCATCAGTAAAAAGTTTTACACATTTTAGAATTATAGTGAAGATGTCAGTGCTATGAAATAACACATATGGAATTGTGCAGTGATTTAAAGGTGTTAATACAAGGCAAACTGCAAGCTTCAGTTGCGATGCTTCAAAGTAGCCTCTATTTGCCTTGATGCAAATATATAAAGAAATAAAATAATTCAATAAATCATAAAAATGCTTTGGAAATAAATTCATTCATGTCCATCAAACTGAAGACTAAATTTAAAGTAGCAATTTGTGTTTACTTTAAACTGATGTGAGACCAGTTTAAAATGGTCACTTTACACTGAACTGAGACCTGTTTGAAGTGGTCTCTTTACACTGACCTGAGACCAGATTGAAGTGGTCCTTTTACACTGATCTGAGACTTGTTTGAAATGGTCAGTTTATGCTAACATGAGACCAGATTGAAGTGGTTACTTTACACTGACCAGAGACCAGTTTGAAATGGTTAGTTTGAAGTAGTCTATTTACACTGACGTAAGATCAGCTTGAAGTGGTCAGTTTACACTGACCTGAGACCAGTTTGAAGCGGTCCTTTTACACTGATCTGAGACCAGTTTCAAGTGATCTCTGTGTGCTGACCTGAGGCCAGAGAGTCCCTAAGAGGGTCAGTTTGAAGTAGTATATTTACACTGACCTGAGACCAGATTGAAACCTTTACTTTGCACTTACCTGAGGCCAGTTAGAAGTAGACACGTTACACTTACCTGAGGCCAGTTTGAAGTGAACACTTTACACTGACCTGAGATTAATTTGATGTGGTCACTTTACCCTGAATAATAAGGTTCAGGTGTGGAGTATTGTGAGCTGGTGTTGTGAGAACATCCTCTTTCAAGGGCGCGGTTTGCTCCAAGCATGATACGCTCACTAACCCAAAACACGGCACTGTTTACATGTTAGCGTGTGGGTTTTAGTCAGGCAGCTTGGAGGTGCGCTGGGTGTCACCTTCTTAACTAAACAGAGAAATGCTTGTGCCTTTGGCTGTGAGGCTGAGGAGCTGCTATTATTCATGCTGTGCCTGGAACACCCACACATACATTATCCATCCTTTTCTCTTGCTATGTCTGCCTCCTTGCACTCTGTGTAGAAATAATTGGGCCTGTCTCATGGAGTGAAAAGTGTGTATGTGTGGAAGGAGCGGAGTGGACTAGAGCTTATTTTAATGCATACTCCAGACTACTCCTTTCCCAGATTAGGGTAATGACCCTTGGACGTAAAAATCCATCATGGCATTGATTTGAACATGAACAGGGAGTGATGAGCTCTTCAGCTGGCTAATAAAGATGGGTACAGAATTTTAACACTGGTCCATGATCACTGCTGCAGGACTGCTGGACTTTCTAACTCTTTTTTGCTGCTGCAGCAAGTGTGATATAAAGACACAGTGTTTTCATCACAAATCCTGTGGATCTTTTTCAGTTTAAGCTGACGTGTACATATTTACACTACCACACAAAGGCGTGGAGTCATCTCTTTTGAATTATTTCATTCAAAAATAGCTTGTATTGTAGTGTTATAGACCAGAAATGTATTTTGACATGTTTTATTCAGTACATTTTTATGAACAACACAAAGATTTTAAATGATAAATAATATACTGTAATTAGCAGGCGTGCACATTTGGTCTGATTAGTCTGAGGACTAAAATTAGGAGGCTATAGCTGATATACAGCTATTCGAACGGAAAAATGGTTAAACAACATATGTGTACCATCGCACATATTAATATATGCTTTGTATGTCAGTATTAAAACAACGAACAAATAGTAGTAATATGATATGTATTTAGTATAGAGATTCAGTTCTGTTGCCAATTACAATGACACTTTCTTTCCATTATGTCATTAAAATTATGAGTCTGATTTGCACTATATATTATGTTTAGCAAAATACCATAATAATGATAATAATGATAAATATGATGATAATTAGGAAGAAAGAGAAAGGACTGTTAATAACTGTGAGGCAAAAGTCAACAAACAATGATAGTACAGTAAAGAAGTGTTGGAAATGATTTCAGTGCTTCTTTCTTTTTGTTATTACTGACTATAATTAAACAAAACAATATTGATTTTGACTTTAATTACTTAATTTTAATTGACTTTAATTTGAGTTTTAAATTGCTATTGACTGGCAGTTCTTGTGCAACACAGTTATGTACTTTTCTCAACCATCACACAATGAATGCCACCAATTTTTTGTCTGCTTAATTAAATGGATGCAAACAAAGTCATTTATAGTAGTTTGGTGTGAAATGCTCAGTTCTAGAGACACTTGTAGTCAGAATTGTTCACAGTGGTGGTAACTGGAACCAGACGTCCACCTCTAAAAGCTCCCTCACAGAAAGTTATTACATGAAACGGTTATGAATACACTGGCTGATGTTTGAGATATTGTTTTATAATACAGTCTTTAAAAAGATGGTTCTTCAAGGGTTCTTTAGTAAAGCAAATGGTACATACAGAACTTTGAACACTCAAAGAACCTGTTGTGTGATTAAAGGGCTCTTTGCATCATGAAAGTGTTCTTAAGAATATGCTGTAGATGATTCTATATAGAACCCCATTGAAAAGGGTTCTATATAGCACCAAATAGGGTTCTTCTGTTGTTATGATGTCATGCATGTCACAATAGAAGAACTCTTTGGGTGTCATATAGAACCCTTTTCTAAAGGTTCTATATAGAACCATCTACAGCACATTCTCCATCAATCTGAAGAACGCTTTCATGATGCAAAGAACCTTTAATCATGCAGAGGGTTCTTTGAGTATTCATGATTCTATTTAGAACCTTTTTTTTACTACAGAACCCTTGAAGAACCATCTTTTTAAAGTGTGTAGTTTTAAGATAAGATCTTGGCTGTTTGAGAATTTTCTGTTCATGACAGGTGGGGTTGGTGGTAGTGGGAGGTAAAACGTGATATTATTGGTTAATATTATTTTTTACTGGCCGGTGACGTTTTAGAGGCGGGCAAAAATCATGGCACCTTAGTCAAAGATTGTGGAAAAACAAGAATTTTTTAGATGATTTTTTTAGATGATTTGTGATGAATTGTGCTTGATATGACCAACATTTTGATTACAGGTTGACTCTAAAGCTTCCTGCATATGATTTGACATGACTGTTGTAGAGTAGTAGCATTATATTAGAAGCATTTTAGATGTGTGTCTGCAAAAGTTCAAAACTTTTGAGCTAAAGATACTGTGTAAAATACTGCGGTTGGTTTTGGAGCAGACAGCACTGCAGGTGGGTGGGACTCTGCTGGTGGTGTTTAGGGCACAAACACACATACAGAGATTGCGATCTCTGTGCCCTCATGCCTGAATTTGTGTAAATAATACGGGTGTAAATCTCTGACCTCACAACAATTCAGTTGTGACTCTGTAGGAAACAATTCCATACATCATTAAATTTCACTCAAATTCATTCAATTCCAGTGAAATTCTGTGACATTTCTGTCAAATTTATGAAATTTCACTCAAGTTCATCAAATTCCAGTGAAATTCCATGACATTTTTTCTCAAATTCATGAATTTTCACTCAAATTCATTAAATTCCAGTGAGATTTCAAGATATTTCTTTTAAATGCATGAACTTTCACTCACGTTCATTTAATTACAGTGAAATTTAATGCCATTTCTCTCAAATTCATGAAATTTCACCCATGTTCATTAAATTTCAGTGAGACTTCATGACATTCCTCTCAAATTTGTGAATCTCAGATTTCATCATCATTCAGTTCAGTTTGTTAGTCAGAATTATTTTTTAAAAACACACTGAATACACTAATGTGATGGAGCAGTATAGACAATAAAAGACAATAAAAATAATATACTTGGCTAAAATAAAATATAAATGATGAAAATAAAACATGTTCTCAGGATATTTAACTTTTGGAAGAGAGACTTTAGTTTTGGGCACATGTATTATTAAATACTATCATAACTGACTCTAAATTGTTGGTATTGTAAGTCTTTCAGATGGAGACAGCTCTAGTGAAGACCCTGAGAGTGTGAGTGCTGTTGCTGGTGTGTTCAGGGCTTGTTTGTAGTTTGAGAGTGTGTTGAAGTTAAGCAGCTGTAGTGAAGGTTGTGTGTTTCTGAGAGAGCCAGCAAGTGTGTGTGTGTGTGTGTGTGTGTGTGTGTGGGGCTCATTCAGGATCTCCTGGAAGCACTCAAACGGAACCGGTTCTTATTGTTGCAGCGTGCCGCAGCTCACAGTGACCCCAACTCTGAGCCCCTCTGTCCAATTCAGCCCCTCTGTCTGCCAGCCTGGCAAGAACACTCAGCCATTTACCATGGGCACCTCTCTCTCTCTCTCTCTCTCTCTCTCTCTCTCTCTCTCACTCTTTCTCTCTCTCTCTCTCTCTCTCTCTCACACTCTTTCTCTCTCTCTCTCTCTCTCTCTCTCTCTCTCACTCTTTCTCTCTCTCTCTCTCTCTCTCTCACTCTTTCTCTCTCTCTCTCTCTCTCTCTCTCTCTCACACTCTTTCTCTCTCTCTCTCTCACTCTTTCTCTCTCTATCTATCTATCTGTCTGTCTATCTATCTGTCCCCCTCTCTCCCCATCTCCCTCCCTCCGTCTCTACCTCCCTCCCTCCCTCCCTCTGGCTTCTTCTTTTACATTTGCCTTCTCACTCAACTCTCTCGTCCTGACCAATCTCAGTCTTTTCAACTGGGTTTTTCTGAACAACACATTCTAATTATCCAACAAATGCATATAAATCTGATAAAATATGCCAAATGTAACACATTAAGGGAGATCAGGAAGTAATGAATATACGGCAAGACATATAACATTAACAATATGATGTGATATAATCATAATACAGTTATTTTTCTGTATCGTATAGCCCTACAAAACAGCAATAAAGGGAAAAAACAAATTTTCCTAACATTTTTTAAATAAAAGAGTTTGATGTGGAGTATAAACACTGCTAACATTTCAGAACATGCTATTCACTCCATTTCACTACGTAGTTCATATATGAAACCTGCAAAAACAGCCAATTTCTCAATCACTGGTTTTTGTGTTGTCGGAGAAAACAACACATTTACACATACCTGTCTATTCAAGCTACAGTTGTTTAGCCCTATTCACTTACCCAGAAGTTATAAGGAGTGTTTCAGCCCAGACTGCTGAATGAAGTACAGTACAGGGCAGCCAATCAGAATAGAGCTCATTTACATATATCAGTCTTAAAGTCACAGTAATAAAAACAGCCTGATTCATTCTAAGGGATAAAGAGAGGTGTAAAAATGCAATGCAAAAATGAAATATGACCAATATTGGTACATAAAACCACACAAACATGAAATGTAAGATATGGGCCCTTTAAGACACTTCCTACAGAAAAATTGCCTGAGGAAAAGCACATTTCATTCTTTCTTTCTCTCTCTCTCTCTCTCTTTGTTGAGTGAGTCTGAACAGATTGGAGCTTGAATCATTTATTTCTTCCTTTCAGTTCAAAGCTGTGGTTCTTCCACCTGTAAGGCATTTTATCTGATGTAGAATGGAGATTAATTTTCCCTGCTTTCATTTGTCTCACTGAAATATTTAAGGAAGGTCACCTCTCAGGTTTTATTCTAACTCCTGTCTTAAGGCCACAAATGGACTTTTTTTTCTCAAGACACTTCCACAGATTAAGTCAAATGTTCTCTCTCTTATGTTCTCAGTCTCTTTTTCTCTCTATCAGATTTATCATACATGAAAACCAAACATCAGACAGTTTGTTGTACGACCTCTCTTTTATCTCCAGCTGCAGAGGAGTGGAGCGTCTTCAGCCCCTTTTTTTTGGATACTAATCGATATGCTTGTTATTGTTACAGCCACTATAACTAAAAAGCAAGTGGTCTAGTTCTTTCTGGGACTCAAGAGACATAATACCCATCTGCTCTTCACATAGCTTGATGTTTCTCTCCTTCTTTAAACCTGATTCTCACTTCTCTGCCTCTAGAACATTGACTGATTTTTCTGTGCTTTTACTCTGCTGTTTTTCTGCAACAATTATGTATTCATTACAGTTTTTTTAGGGCTGCCCCAATTAATCTATTTAATTTTATTACTTGATAAATCGGCAGTGATTGCTTGGCAAATATGCCCATTTACATCTATTTTTTTCAGATAGCCTTTTTTATTTACACTGTTTATTTGCCATATTTATTTTTTTTCCCCAATTTTTCTCCGCAATTTAGTCATCTCCAATACCTTCCACTAGTTAGGACTCCCCCAATTACATGGTACTACCAGCGCTTGGAGAGCTTTCCTTTGGGATAGTGAATGTATTGTGCCTTTGAAACTTATTTAAGTCACACAATTGGATTTCGAGACCATTTTGAACCCTTATACATTTACAATGTTTGTACTTTGGAGGACAAAGACATATCGAACTGGCACGAGTACAAATGTTCCAACTAACTCTATAGGTGCGGCTACTTGATTCGGACTGAGAGGGTACTTTGAACAGTTGCTAAAACCACTGATAAATCGATGCAAATCTCAATGAATTGAATGCAATTCAGTGTTGTTTGAATGAGATGACTTTCCAACCTAAATTCATAAAATATATTCATCAGAATAAATACGATTTGTGAAAAAAGAGTGTGTCAAATGTGGCAATATAATTTTTGACCACAAAGTAGAAAATATATCACAGCAATAAAATTGCGTATACATTTTATTTACATGACATCTGTACTATAAACTTTCAAAACATGTTGAAATTGATTTGGAAAGATTGTTTATTTCAGGGGGCTTTGTTGTAACACTGTGTTAAAACTAAACCCTCTGTGTGGAGGCCGTACTTTAGCCTGACTAGCTCTCAGTGTGAGTTATATGTATACTTCAAAGTGGTACTGTATTCCAGCCAATATGTGGGTGAATGAAACAATATAGCTGTAAATTCTGATTTACACAGAACTCAGTGATCAAAAATCTAGTGTTGTACTCAGGTTTGGTCTTGGGAATGTAAATTAACAGTCCAGGCCTCAGTCTCATCATCATTTGAACTTGGTCTTGTCCTGATCTCAGGGTAAGGTGGACTCGGAAAATGTTCTCAACACCAGCCGAGTGTGTTGCCTCTATTTGAGGTAACTGGAAACTGAACACTTTCCTATCGTTATTGAATATCAACAAAATAAAATCTGTTGGTGCTGGTTGAGGCTCTAATTACTTTTTCCGTGATGGTTTAACTGGGTATTATTTGTTGATGTTCATTCATTCCTCTGAAGACAGATTGGAATGTTCTCATTACTGTGTGTTCATTTAATAATGAAAATGGAGGTATGTTGTTTGGTTTACATTCATTTGATTTGAGGTGATGATTCTGAAAGTGTTTAGAGAAAAATAGACAGAGAAAAACTTCACCATCATTTGCTTTCCAAAGTTACATACAAAGTTGAATTAAGACTATAACATAATATTATATATCATGTATAATTCATGATGTACAATGTACAATGAACTACAAACAATTAAATTTGAAATTTCTTGAAAACAGTTTCTTTTAGGGTATAAATACATTCTTTATAACAGGGGTGTCAAACTCTAAAAAGGGCCATATTAAAAAATCTCAACAAATTTGCAGGCCAGATGTGTTTTTATTTTATTTTTACTTAACATTTTGCCATGACCCGAACGGGCCATTGTTTGTTCAAAATATGACAGAAGTGCAACAGCAAAATACTTGAACTATTCAAAAATAATTTTGAATAAAAATAAATTGTTTAATATAAAACAATAGACTACATCAGGTACAGATGGTTAAACCTCTTGAAATTTCCCCAGAAGGTAGGTTTTTTAAAACTGCCCATTTGCTTGAACTAGACACCTGGCGTCTTTTCTTTTTGTGTAACCGCTGGCCCAGAGATTGTTGTTGGAGAAAGGGGCTTAGAACAGACATTGTGTGCCAGTGCATGCTGGGGACTGTAGTGCAGCTCAGGGTGAAACAAGCTGATAATAATATAAAATTAAAATAATTCTACGGGCCGAATAGGGTTGTGCCATGGGCCTGACTTTGCCCGCATGCCTTGAGTTTGACATGGGCTTTAGAGTAAATCTGGTGAAAAATCTATCTGATTGCTGTCAAAATAAGCAGATGAGGTTGCTGTGGGAATATGAGATGACTAAGAGTACATTCAGTTGAACCTGTTTAACTACGCAAAATATCTGTGTTACATTTTAGCCCACATTAGTTTGTGCCGCTGTCTCTTCTACCCTTTTTTCCGACAGTATATCGTTACTGTCCAAAAGAAACTAAATATGTCTTTTTGGTTGTATTTTTTACGACATCATCACACAGCAGCTGTTCTTTACATTGTGTGAAAAAGTTGTAATTGAATTGACAGAAATGCTCCAAAGTCTCTTAGGATAAAACATCTTTACATTAACTTACATTAAAAGAAAAGAGAGTTTTTGCCTTCTGTTGTGAAGTTATTATTTTGGAGATGCATGTTCTTCTTTGGACACCAGTGATATGCACCTACACCTTTTATTATGTCTGGCATCTTAATGTACAAAGTTTTGTTTTCCTCTGTTGCAGATGACATGGAGGCCATGCCTGTCAAGCAGTTTATCAAGCACATATCTGACCTGTACGCCAACAACCAGCATGGATTCTCTGAAGAGTTTGAGGTACACAAACACACCCGTGCCACCTCCTAGTCACCATTGTAATGGCCTTGTCCATTAGACTGAGTCTGTGTCTCTGAACAGCTGGCCTGGCTTCTACACCCAGTTTGTGGAGGGGTGCATTTGTTGAGCATTTCTGACAGGGCATCATTAGAGGCCGGACCGGCAGAACTCTGTCAAAGTGACAGCAAATAGGGATGTTTTACACCCTGTGAGTGTGTGTGTGTGTGTGTGTCAGTGTGTGTGGACCAGATGGTCTTGGACGCTGCTGCCCCTCGCTTGTAGCTTCCCTTGTCCAGGCCAGAGCACCGGGCCAGCAATTTGTGTCGCAGCTGTGCTGAGCTGTCAGACCCTTCAGAGTGTATTAATATTAATCTGTGCTAAGATCAGAAATGATCAATAATCCACACAGACACGACCTACACATCTCCATTCATCCAGCCTGCCTGCCTGACACATTACACCTAATGATGGGAAGTGTCAAGCCCTAAGAGATGCTCAGATACACCCTCGTATACACATTAGGTCTTGTTTGGCCAATAAAATCAGACAATATTACAATTAAAATTGATTCACTGGTATCTGCAGAAGGCTTAATGTGTCTTTAAATATGCTCTAAGAAAAAAACATTCAGGAATGTCGCACTGCTTTGAACAACCACCAGACCTATTGGAAATATTGTATTAAATCACTTAAATCTCAACACAAACAATGACAAAAGGTGTTCCTTTATGAGGTTCTTACAGATGTAAAGGGCCTATCAGCTAATCATAATGGAGGTCATTTACATATATCAGTCTTAAATGCACAGTAACAATGGTAAAATGGTCATGTAAGCAAAATGTGGAGTATGTGCCCCTTTTCACTTGCTCGTGTTATGTAGCAGCTATACTGGTATATTGCCTATTGGATATTGGTTCAGTAGCGGTGTCATCATTGTTAACAGAATTTTCATATCAATCAGTCGCTGATAGTCACACATTTTATGGACGAATGAGGCGAGATGTTGGACGTGCTGAGGTTGACTAAACCAGAGCATTGTGTGTTCATTGTGAATATCTCCCTGGGAGTGAAATGTGTGTTCATCCCGTGTGTTCTTTCTCTCTGTAAGCTCAGAAATTTCTCTCTGCTTGATTCCACTTTAGTCTCTGTCACTCACTCGCTGAGAGAGAGCAGTTTGTAATTCGGTAATTCCCTGCTTGCATTTATGTGGATGTGCGGGGGATCTGTGCTTTAGAGGCAGGCTAGACTGGCATTAGTTCCGCGGTTTAGAAGCAGGCTAGACTCGGATTAGGTGTGCAGTAAAGAAGAAGCCGAGCAGGGGTTATATCTGGGATTTGAAAGGCAGCTAAACCCAAGGTTAGATGTAAAGGTTGTAATGTGTTTTGCTAACTGTCAAAGTTTCCCACCTGGCTGTATGTGGACGGGGCCCAGTGCAGCACAGTACTGTTGGTCAGTGTGTGTGTGTTTGTATCCGTAGCAGACGTAGCATTTAAAGAGATTAAAAATAAATAAATGTACTCAATTTACTCCTTATCTCAGGTTGAGTCAGTCAGTGAAGACATGTTTGATGTCTAAAGCTTGCTTTTTTACTTTTTTCTCCTGGAGCTACACAATGCTAATTTTCATTTGTAGCTTCTATTGCTTATCTACACACTTAAAAAGATGATTCTTCAAGGGTTCTTTAGTAAAGAAAATGGTTCTATGTAGAGTACCCTTCTATATACATTTTCTATATAACAACACATAAGCACATGGTTTAAGGATATTTTTCTTGGTGAAATTGCCTGTAAAAAAAAACATATCATTATAACAGATACAAATAAACATAAATACAGTAAAGAGTAAGAAGAATTTCTTATTATGAAAGAAGTAGTTAATACCTTGTGAGCTGGGTTGAAGAACAAAGTTTGGATGCCTTCAGCCACAGCATGGACTTGTTAAATTCCATCAACAGCACACCTGATTTAACATCATGAAGGACGGATCAGCCAAACCAGGTGTTGGATAATAACTACAAATAATACTTGACTTCCTTGAGGAGAGGTTTGGAAATGGTTAAATGAAAACATAATCACTAATTATTTTATTAATATTACTTGTATTTACTTTAACATTAGTGAACTAATGAACCCTTATGTTCTACAAAAAAAATCTAAAAAATTTAATCCAAGTCTGTGGAGCTTAAGACTTTGGCACAGTATTGTATGTCTTTCCCATATCTCAGCCTCTTTCCCACCTTTTCACCCCTCGACCTAAAGAAACAGTGAGTTCTCGGTGCTGAGGAGAGGAGAGACAGAGAGGGAAAGAAGATGAGGGGAATCTATTGTATTGCTACACTAACCAGGCTTCTTTGTGTCCACATGCTGCTTGATAGACAGAGGAAAGTAATTTAGTGGAGTGTGAGTGTTTGACTGCCTGGTGACACTGAGTATCAATTTAAACTCAGTGGAGCTATGGGCAGTTTCAGACTCTCAGTAACTATGTACTAATTACAATGGCAATGATTCAGCCAGAAATCCAATCTACACAATTTTCTTCTTACCTTAAATGTACACTGCTGGTCAAAATTTGGAATAACTGTTTTTATTCATATAAAACCAGAATGTTAAAGATAAATGTATAAAGTGATATGATGCTATTTTTCATCTTCACCTTATGAAAAAATACATTTTAGATGTATCCTGAATGATGAACAGAGCTGTAGATGATACTGTGACTATTAAAAAGCTGTAGAACATTAAGAAGTTGTACTGAAATTAACATACAGAATAAATAAAATATACCGTAATATACTGTGATAGATAATAATTAGAGTAAATCCAAAGCGTCCAAAACAGAAAACATATGTTAGTTTTGCTGGTGACCAGCAGTGCTGGGGGCTTTGCAGGGCTGTAAAATAGTTTGTCCATTCAACCTAAAACATTACGTTGTGTGGTTTTGTTCAACTCATATAAATATGTCTAATGAAAAATGCCAAGCACATTTTACATCAGTTCAAACTTAAAAACTTCAAATCAGCTCTTGCTGTGTTGCACCTTTTACAGTGTAATATTTGGTAAAACTTTATTTGGAGTGGTTGTAGGTTAATAAACTCTTAACAGATTATCAGTAACACATCAACAACATATCAGTGAAGTAGCAGTAGTATTTGAATAGATTGAAGTAAATATCTTGTAGATGTTCTGTTAATACATTATTTACATTAAAGCTAATGTAGCTAACAAGTAATGGAAGCTTATAGCTACTATTAACATTGTGAAAACTGCATATTTGCATATTTAAATCATCATAGCTTTGCCTTAAAACCACACAAACCATGTAGTTGTTATGTAATCTAAAATTTACATGGAAAAATAAGGACAAAAGTGTGGGAAAAGTCCATGCTTTAAGATGGCTGTGACTTGTGTTTTTAGCTATGCTAATTTCCTTTTGTCTATTTTAGTAGATAACAGATTGTCATACAGTGTCAGTAACCACATACATAAGTCCATCTGAGTTCTGTGTTAATGGCTTAACATGGTATATGGCCTTGTAGCTCCAGTACAAATACTAAATAAGCAAGCGTGTCTTGGCTGAGGGACTCTGTTTGGTGTAAGAGGACAAATTGTACTCAACCATGGCTCAATCATTATGTTAAGGGGTTAATAAGAACAGAGTCTGAAGGGATGAGTGTATGGATGCGGGTGTTTTCACGTACGTGAATTTTGGGAAGTGTTTCTGTCTCCTTCAATGACACCTCATGGGCACCCCCAGGCCTTTCTCCTCCAGCACCTCCCCACCCAGTGCAGCAGAAAAGGAAAGAGGCAACAGAGCAAAACTCTTTATATGGAGCCTCCAGGGCCCCTGACAAGTGGCTTTGTGCTGGCTGGCCTGCGAGAGACGTGGCCGGGGTGGCAAGCACAGGCTGAGAGGGTTCCTGGAGGCCGGCTCGGGGAGGGGTGAGGATAGGGTGCATTCCGAGTGGGAGATTTTGAAGGGATTCCTGGGAAAAAGAGGGCTTTTGGATGAGGACCCAAAAGCATGAGAGGGTGGGGAGGGTTTGGAGATTGGCATTCTGTTGATGGAGAGAGGGGGGGAAGCATGCAATTATGAATGAATGGAGAAAGCAAGGACAGAAGGGCAGAGTCCAAAGTTTGAGCGTGGCAGAAGAGCATAGCTTGGATGGCTGCAATGCAAAGCTCAGTTGAATTGACCTAGTTTTGTCCTTCTAATGAACTGAATGTACTTTGTTGCAGTTGCAGTATAGTGCTTTCACACAGAGTACACACATATCAAGTTGTGCTATCTGCTTGAGCATACAGTGGAGTCTTTTCAACACTTGAAAACTATAGGAATTTTTTCATATCAGGTATTCCGTAAACCTCTAAAGCATCATCTTGGTTGGCAACATGACAGTGTTGAGGAACTCCGCATCTAAGCCTTTTTTCTGTCTGGGAAAACCTGAATGGCTCTCTTTAATGTCACCTTTGTCGCACCCTGTAAGAAACAAATGTTTCAAAACTACATTTTGTTTTGTCTATTTTTCATCACAATACTAGGAACCTCACTAAAATACCCCATGCAAACCATCAAGCTTTGCCTGATGTGCTGGTTAAGTTGCTTTGGCACTAATAGTTACAATTTAAGTAGCCAGCGTTATAGAGTACAATACGAAACTCATCATTTTGATGAACATTAGTGTATGAGCTTGCATGGATCTAGCAGTATTTGGTGTATAACAGCTTTCCTACCTAACGACCTTGTAATTCAGAGGATCCAGTGACTTTCAGGGAGGAAATGTAACCAGGACAAAATGTATCAGCTTTAGAATATTTTTGTTCATCATGTTTATCATAAGGAGCATTAGAACCAATTTTTGAAAATGCCATTCATTTTTCCCATACAGGAAAAACCACTTCAGCCCAGAGTTCTTTATATTAGCATGATGCCAACTACAAAATGATGGACAACTATAAAGCTCTGTTGGCTTATTTCAAAAGTTCAGCCTGTAGTGCTGTCATGTAGTTGAACAGGGAGTTTAACTGAGCAGTGGTACAACCTTTTAAAGGGGAATTTTCTAGATTATTTGTTTTTAAATATTTTGCATTATTAAATGGTTAGGATGTTAACAAAGTCATTCAAAGTGGTTTGATTTTTTAAGGCTACATTCTAGTGAAACTTACCAAGTCAGAATTGTTTACAGTGGTGATAAAAGGAAACCATGGGTCTGAAGAGTTTGTCCCCAAAAGCTGCCTCACAGAAAGTCTTGACATGAAATAGGGTATAAATACATTGCCTGATGACTGAGACATTGTTTTACAGTAGTTTTAATATAAGCTGTTGACATATGTTGACACATGTTCTAAAACATATTTGCAGTATTTTACCATTATTAACATTAGATATAACGCAGAAGGCACGTGTAGTTTCACTGGTGGCTCTGGATAGTAAATAAAATGGCTATATTTGAGTTGTAGACATCATGACCCCTGGTTCCTTTCACCACCACTGTAAAGACATCGGAGTCATTAAGTTTCTCTATAATGCACAACGTCACATCAAACCACTGACCAATGACTTTGTGTACAGCTCAGTCATTGCATGATGCACACATTTTGAAAAATGGGTGGAGTTCCCCTTCAAGATGTTAACCGTTTCTTCCTGAGATTCCTGAGCTCCATTCACAGTGATGCAGCAAGCAAAAAGGTTGGTCATTATTGTTGTTGACATTTTTGCCAATACTGATAAAACCATGAGTTGTCAATGTCTCAATGGGATCTGTTGTGTACAAACACATAAAATCAAAGCAAGTAGATCTCCAGGCTACAAAAACACTTAAAACACCCTGTTTTTCTCTAGGCTTCTTTAATAATAGTCATTATCTGTTAGTAAGTTAGGCTGTAGTTCACTAAGGAGGTGAATGATTTTTACTTTAGTGTCGCTTTCAGGTTTTGACTTTGATGGCTGCTTTAAAAGCTGCATAGGATTCTGTTGAGTATGCATTGAACTACAGGCATATATCTATAGCCATGTGTATGTCTGTGTGTGGCAAGAGATGGGTGTTGTCTTGGCAGTCTGCAGTGAGAAATCATCATTCAAAAGGAAAAAGAGTGCGGCAGCCTGGGAGACAAATGAAGTATTTACATTGTTTCACCAAAAGAAAATGCGGTAGCGGCACAGTCAGAGCTTTCCTAAGTGATATTATTTAAAATGCGCATTTCTTTTCTGCTTGTTTTGTATTCTTTGTAAAGAAATCATATCTCTATGGGTGTTTGTGTGTGTTCACTGCAGGAAGTGCAGCGCTGCACAGCGGATATGAAGATCACGTCTGAACATTCAAATCACCCAGACAACAAGCACAAGAACAGATATATCAACATTGTGGCATGTAAGTCTCTCTCTCTCTCTCTCTCTCTCTCTCTCTCTCCTCTAATGATATGTATGCTGCTCACACTCTCTGCCTCCGTCTCTCCCTCTAGATGATCACAGTCGAGTGAAGCTAAGACCATTAGCAGGCAAGGACTCCAAACACAGTGACTACATCAATGCTAACTATGTGGATGTGAGTGTTATACAATACATACAATATTGTATCTGTCACCATATTTAGTTTTTCTAACGTTAAAAATTGATTGGAACAGACAAAAAAAGCAGCCACATTAAAAAAAATTAATCATGTTGTATGGATCGTTCTACTGAATTGGTTCAAAGTCAGAGTTGAAAACACATTTCGCACCTTTAACTAACTTGGGCTTAAGACTAAAATCTATTTGCTTTGAATGATCCTATATCTTAATTATGTTTATTCTGTTAAAAATAAATCATTTAACATTTTGTCGCTACCAAAACAGTAATAATGCCTCTGAAACATTACCAAATGTTTCAGTACTGACTGTTTTGTAGTAACAGTTTTAGCAAATTTTGGGCAGAACTTGAAAATGTTAGCCAGTACATGACTAGCAAACAGCTGTACACACAAGAAATCCTAATAATTCTCATTAAAACATAGTTTACTTATTGCAGAAAACTGTGTTTCAGTAGTGAAAATTCTTAATGTTACACACTGATTTTCAGACCTTGGGACACAATTACTTCCAAACATTGAGAGCTAAAGAGGGACAGGGATGCAGTCTCACTTCCTGCTCTGAAATGTGGCTAAGATGGCTAAAATAAGACTATAACACTTTGTGTTTCAGTAGTGACATGAAAATGTGGGACAACATTTTTTGAATGTGAGGTGTTTTTTACTTAAAAATTAAGCTCTTAAATAAATCTAAATCTTTGAACTTCACTTTATCAATACAATTCAAAAACATCAATATCAAAAACATCTTTTTAAAAAACAACATAAAGAAATGCAAAAAAAAATGTAAGTATTATTTACAGAAGTTTAAGTTTTGGGAAAGTCACCTTCCAAAGGAAAGTATTTTATAATTAATGATTTTTAATATATTTAGCTTATTACTATCTCAATTAATGTCTTGGGTTTAAATAAATCATACCGTAGTCCTTGTATATATTTAATTGTATATTGTATATTGTTTAGATTTTTTTCTTTCTTTATTTCCTTTTTTGTGCTGAGGGACCACAGTTTAACTAATTCAGTAGACTGATCTTTATGTGTGTGTGCAATTGTGCACCATATAATGCTACACTAGAATGTAGTATGTTCATATTAAGTGTATTTGTATGTCCCTCTCTCAGGGCTACAACAAGCCCAAGGCGTACATTGCTGCACAGGGTCCCCTCAAGTCCACTTTCGAGGACTTCTGGAGGATGGTGTGGGAGCAGAACACGGGCATCATCGTGATGATCACCAACCTGGTGGAGAAAGGAAGAGTGAGTTCCCTCCGGTCCTCTCCTCTATGCTGTCTGGAACAGAATTAAGTCCACTGCAGACTGAGCTATGAGAGCAGTCTTTTTGGTTTATTTCATGTCACCTAGTAAAATCTTGCGTATCTGGCAGACTGTGCTATATCATTTATGTTCATGTGTGTTGTGCACTGGATTATATGATAAACATTCTCCAACGTTCGACCTGTGATACAAGAAAATATCAATATTATGCCTAGATCTGAGGTTTCAAACTGTTTGTAGAAATATCTATAAAATATCTACAAATCGAGATATTATGTATTAAAAAGATCTTATTTTGTGTTTGGGCTTTGTACAGAGAAAATGTGACCAGTACTGGCCGACAGAGAACAGTGAGGAGTACGGTAACATTGTGGTGACGTTGAAGAGCAGTAAAGTCCACGCCTGCTACACAGTCCGCCGCTTCACCATCCGCAACACCAAAGTCAAGAAGGTCAGTGTCTCTTTCTCAGTGCTACTTGCCCTGCTGTGTTTCTAGCACACACACACACACCTGATCCAGTCCAGTTTGATCCAATTAATCAAAGACCTCCAAAGACCTTGATTAGCTGGAGCAGGTGTGTTAGCTTTGGGTTGGAACTGATCTCTACGGGGAAGTCAGGAGGAGAGTCAGTGACTGCTGCTGTTGGAGATATTTGACTCAGAACAGATGTTTGAGTAGAGTTTAGAACGTCCACAGGTCATACCTTGTCACAATGAATGGATATGGGCCAAGCTTAAAAAGCAAAAAAAAGGACCTGAAAATAAACTGTGCCTGACACTCAGACCCAGAACAAGGCTGTAATGAAGATAAACAATGAACAGTATTTATTAAAGGCAATTAAACACCAGTGATAGGTGTATTAAAGTGCTTATGTAACTGAATTGTTCTTGCGTTTTTAAAATAAAATAATTTAATGTAATATTTAAACATATCTATGTAGTTAATCTGTGGAAACAATGTGGAAAAAACAGCTCATTTTGAATTCATTTTGAATGTGATGTCATATTATAAGCAGATATGTCATTGCAGCCTTCCAATGGACCCATACATCCAAATGGACTGGAAGTTTTTCTTAACATCCCTCAGGATTTTGGCTTGGACTACTTTTTGAATCTGGCTGTTCATATATAGTCATATGCAAAGTTTATACGCCTCTGGTCAAATTATATGTTCTGATGATTTACTAAGTGGAAAAATAAGTAGCCTCTACAGAGAACAAACTTCTGAATATTTTAATACATGATTACTGTTTATTTGCTGAACTTAATCTATTGGGAATTATAATATTTTCAGTTTCCATTATGTTAAACGCAGAAAATAAATAGAAACTGTGCACTAAAATTTGCAGAAAAAGCCCAAAATACAGGGAACATTTGTTCCCTGTGGAGGATTTGTTGACTTATGTTCAGTCAATGAAACATCTAATTTGATGGGATATTCAAATATTTGCATAGGATAATATACCAGTCTAAAAGGCACAGGTAACAAAAAATAGTTTGTTTAATTCTAAGGTATAAAGAGAGGGTGGAATTTAGTCATGTAAAAGTGAATGTACATAGAACCATGTGTACATGGCAAAAAATTAAATACAGAAATGTATAATATTAGTACATACTTGGCAACTTGTGATATGTATATTAGTACATCCTTGGCAACTTGTGTTATGTATAGGATTCATAGACTAAATGTAAGGACATAAAAATACCCAATAGTGGGAAATGGAACTTATAAAAACACAGAAAATAGGATCGATATATTAAACTATAGTATCTGCGCCTATTTTCACTCATACGATGGGGGGATTGCAAGTATTAAAGGCACGAGTTAGTAAAAGGAGTTAAGAAGCTTATTTCAGAGTGAGATTTCCACAGTTTGTTTGTTAAAAGACTGTAATGATTCAACATTAATCCTCTTTCATAACACACACAAAAAGAGTTAAGCCATACAATAACTAGCACACCATTTTTACACTAGCTACTTTGACACATGAGAACTGGGGGCTAATCTGATATTTAGTTTCCACAGATGGAGTTGTCTCAGGTCATTATGAGTGGCAAGAATGGTAATACGTCATTGTGCATTGTGTTGCAGGACTTAAAAGGACATTTGAGAGACGCTGTGTTGTGTCTAGTTCTGTATGTGTGATGTCTGTGTGAAGGGCTGTGCCCATAGTTAAGTCTGTGAAGGGTGAGGCTGTTTGTGGAGTATCAGAAGGGCAGAGTGAAGGTTTGTGTTTGTAATTGTCTGTGTTTGCAGGGTCAGAAGGGCAGTGTAAAAGGTCGTCAGTGTGAGCGGACAGTGATTCAGTATCACTACACACAGTGGCCTGATATGGGCGTTCCTGAATACACGCTGCCTGTACTCACCTTCGTCAGGAGATCTTCTGCAGCACAGACTCCTGAGATGGGCCCCATGCTCGTCCACTGCAGGTACACACAAGCATTGTACACTGATGTGTCGGTCTATCAACTGATCTCCCAACTATTATTCATTAATCAAAGTAATAAAACCAGTATGCCTTCTTTTGTTCCCTTTCGCTTTGCTGTCACAGTGCCATCATCAAGTTCTGTCTTATTATTGTTGTTTACAGTGCAGCGAAACAATAGAATTAATTTCACATAAAAGAGCATTGTAGAGATGGATGCATCCATATGGGGGCATGCCAAAAGCCCATATTTTTCATATGTCAAGACACATACACACAATTTTTGAATTGCTGAAATTGGGACTACATCTATCTGAATTAGCATTACAGAGAAATATGACATTTATTTTTATATGATTAAAAATTCACTTACTAATAAAAGGCATCCATCTGCTCATACTGATATCATTCTGATATCATTGTGCATCCTTATTCTGCAGTTCTTTTGTTTTTTAAATAATCAGCGTATTGAATTGATTCAACAACTTTTTCTATAATTGACAAAATCAATGACCAATAAAAATTTGTTAGCTGATTAGCCATTGCAGTACTGTTGTACACTCATACACACCAGTATGCTTTTACTGTTGTAACAAAACCTCATATCTCTGAAATGGTAAGTTAAATGTTTAAAATAATGCGATTTTATTACATTTTGCATTTGGTCCATTTGTCATTAAATATTTACACAATTAAAAAGGGGCAGCTGAGGTTTTCAGTTGTGAGGTTTTGATCTGACAAACTGCATATCAAATGTCGGATTAATATCATCACTACCATGCAAAAACCTTCCATCAAACGTAACTTAAAGTTACCTTTGGCATTTTGTTAAAATTTCATCAAAGAGCAATTAGCAGTGGTGCAAAATTAATTGGAAAATATCTGTTGCATTAACTTCCATTACAAGTTAAGACTGTGAAAATGCTTAACATGTGTTTGTGTGTGTGTGTGAACTCCTCAGTGCTGGTGTGGGCAGGACTGGGACATACATTGTGATTGACAGTATGCTGCAGCAGATTAAGGATAAAGGCTCAGTGAACGTGCTGGGATTCCTTAAACACATCCGCACGCAAAGGAACTACCTAGTTCAAACTGAGGTTAGTCCCGAGTGAGTGAGTGTATATGTGTTTGTTTTTGCACTTTTTCAGTACAAAAATGGTTTAAAAAAAAGTTTAACCAGGATTCTTGACTTTGTGAATTTTTTTTTCTTTACAACATCAAGACCATGTTTAATGTGATTAAAACTTAAATTGTGGGGTCTCTTGAGTGGCCAAGAGTCCAAGAGAGCACAGTTGGCTCTCACTCTCTTGGCAAAGCGGCAGTTTGAGAAGATGCAGGTATATGAGTACTAGTAGGTCATATAGCGATGCACTCTCAGAAATAAAGATGCGAAACTATCACTGGGGCAGTACTTCTGTTGTCACTGGGGTGGTACCCTTAAGGGTTCATCTCAGTACCTTTAGCCAGGGAACATAACTGTACCATAATCCATTGAAATTAGATTTTAGATTAGATATAAAGTTTTACTGACTCCACACACCCCGTCTTGTCTCCAGGCTTTTTATTTTATTGTTCTGTTTTAAACCGTGACCCTGAAGGATAAGCGACTTAGAAAATGTGTGTGTGTGTGTTCTGTTTTAAAACATTAGGTTATGAAAAGGTACAAATACATACTTTTCATCTGGAAAAAAAGGTACACAGTTGGACCTTGAAACCACTGTTGTACTTTTGAGGGAACATTTACATTGTTTATACCTTGATGAACCAAAAATGTACAGAACCTTTATTTTTAACAGTGTATGACCCCACATACTAACAAGGTATAAAAACAAACAGTTGTGTCTGTGTGTGAGTGTTGGAGATCAGTCATTCTTGTAATTTTGACACTTTCTGTCTCTCTCTCTCTCTCTTTCTCTCTCTCTCTCTCTCTCTCATATCTTTAGGAGCAGTATGTGTTTATCCATGATGCCTTGCTAGAGGCTATTCTGGGGAAGGAGACGGAAGTGTTGTCCAGTCAGTTGCACAGCTACGTCAACAGTATCCTGACCCCCGGCCCCAGTGGCAAGACCCGGCTGGAAAAACAGTTCAAGGTCAGGACACGGTCAAAAGCTCTTTTTCTTTCTCTCTCTGTCTTTTTCTGTCTCTCTATTAGATGTGGGAAAATGCTGAAGGTGGCAATTCATCTGCATCACAGCAAGAAGGGCCTGGGTTTAATTCCCCAGTCAGGCGGCATGTTCTCCTGGTGTCTGTGTGGGCTTCCTCCCACAGTCCAAACACATGCTGTCAGGCGAATTGGAGATGCTAAATTGCCCCTAAGTGTGAGTGTGTGTGAATGTATATGTCTGTGTGTCTGCCTTGTGATGGACTGGCGGCCTGTCCAGGGTGTTTCCTGCCTTATGCCCAGTGACCGCTGGGATAAGTTCCAGCATTTGCCGTGACCCAGGAGGATAAACTAATTAGATAATGTGTGTGTGTATTTGGACACCTTTTTTAAATATCATTCAAAATCAAACCAAAAAAATCAAATCAAATCAGACTGTGATGAAACTTTGCACTATTACAGTGCATTGAATCAAATTGAATCATTGTGTGGTCAGAGAGTTACACTGATACAATCTATCTTTCTCAGAATCTCCATTTTCTCTCTTCAAAAATAATAGTACTAATTGTAAAAAAAATCATTAAATGAAATTTAATTTAAATTTAATTTTATTATTATTAATAATAATAATAATAATAATAATGTCATCGAGGACGACAACAATAATCTGTGTTGAACACAATAATAATGTTAATTTGAGATGGTTTCCAGATTTCCAGAGAATTCCAAAGTTTTCTTTTTCTATTACATCTTCTTTCAGCTCGCTCTCTTGCTCTCTCGCTCTCTTGCTCTCTCACTCTCTCTTTCTCACTTATTCTCATTTCATTAACTTCAAAACAAAGTTTATGTAATTAGGACAAAACGACATAGATGAATTAAAGTTAAGGGGAAAAACAGCCTCTCTGGGCTTTCATTTCAGATGTCAGTCATGGCAGCAGGGCCAGGCCCAGTGCACTGTCGCTGTGGGAGATGGCAGTAGATGGGCGGGTTGTGGAACTTTAATTGGCTCTCATCTCTCTCTCACACATAATGCACTCTGTCCCCCTGGTTATGTTAGATTGGGGGCGTTCATGCAGAACAGTGGAAGCCATCATGTTTTTAATGTAATTAGCCCTGAGGCTAAAGTTGAAGTTCATCTTTTTTCCCCCCTCTGTTCATTTCAGGGAAATGTTTCCTCCAACTGACTGTGTAAATAGGCCTCATTTCTCTCCCAGCAGTCTATAGATTTCTACTTAATGGTTAGGGTGAATGGCTGCATGGGATTTTGTGTTTTTATTATATTTTGTCATGTCTGTGTCTCTATTTGGAGCTGCGGTAGTATTCACTGCACAAGAGTGTGCTAATAACCAAATGTAGAATTTTAGACCTTTTTTCTTGCCGTTAGTTTTTGTATTTAAAAAGCAGCCAAGACATGTTTGTGTCTGAAGTTTCCTTTTGTAGTTTTGCACTAGAATTTGGAGGCTACTTAGGGTTTCTGTTAGCTGGCAAATACTGATGTTTTACTGGAAGAAGCAAGACAAGAAAGTTAAAATCCTTCCAGACATAATGTCTGGTAATGTAATCATCTGAAGTGCATATAAAATCCTGTGACAGTGAGGAAGACTGCTTTAACAGGGGTCATGTCCACAATTCCTTTTGTCTTTTGTAATGAATGTAGGACTCCTTTTGAAGAAAATAGTTTTTGTTTAAATGCAGGTGTTTAAGTGTAGCCAATGGGTTGGTGATAGCCACTAGGAGTTAGCTTGTATCCCCTCGTTCTAACAGTTAACAGCTTTGCTCAAAGTCTGCATACACTTTATTTGACCATTTACAAGAATGTTTCTACTAATCTGAGGGTTCATAAAGGCTTATTTTCATTATCCACTAATGACTAATCATTGCTTTCTGCATCTCGTACGCAACGCTGTTGGGGAGCAGTCCAGGTTTGCTGCTCGTGCTGTGTCACTCAGGTTAAAAACTGGAGATTGTTATAGATTGAATGTGTTGCAAGGGGCTGAGAAGCTTAGTTACATCAAATCAAATCACGTTTATTGTCACATCACATTTACACAGGTGTGAATCTTAGGTGCGTAGCACTCTTGTAGTACTTAATTACAAAAATATAGTAAAAATATATATACACATTAGGCTCTAAATATACACATTAATATACACCAGTGTTGCACCATTTCCAATGTACAGTTTTTGTAACAGTAATATAGGTATAATAGGAAATAAAAGCTATGATACAGTTGTACACATTCCCATATATGCAGTTAGTGAGTCTGAGGTAGATAAATGAGATACAGGGTACACAGGGGACATTTGACTTTGAGTCTGCAGGAGCTATGAAGACATGGAAAAAATAAGATTATCAACCATGCCGTAAGCCAACAATATGTTGTTGTTAAAACATTATTGCTAATTGTTGATTTTTTTAAACCTATTTCAGAATATCTCCATTTTTGTTTTCAGTTTTTGACATAATTTGAAAATACCTGTTGCCTTTTCACGTTTGGTGTAAATTTCAATTAATAGATCAAAAGAAACAGCCCAAAATTACTTGGACAAAAAGTCTGGTTCCCTTGACTTACATTAAAAGTTAGGTATGTTTTTTCCTTTTCCTGTAAAGTTACCATTTTGGAGATACAGGGTTTTGTTCTGACAGCAGCAATATGCAGTAGGTAAAGTTTGAACTACCCTTTCATGTCATGTTTTTGGACAATACCCAATATATCACTGTCAAAAAGAACCATCTACTACATTTCGTTAAGCAGAAAATTGTCCAAATTTGACAATTTGTCATTTCAGAATACATTTTGTTTAGATATTTAAGATGTTTAAGAAAGAGATTTTCTGTTTTTGACCTCCAGCCGTAATACTTCAAACATTCTCCCTGCTAATGCATTTTAAACCATACAGCCCTGGGTGTGGTTCTTCTGAATGATGGAATTATATGGAGTGATTTGGAGTGAGGAAGTACTTATATGTTTATCTTAAGGTGTTTACTTAATAAAGTACATAGAGGTTTCCTCTGAAATGGCTGGACATTTAGCTTTAGCAGTTGCTTTGATTTGCTCAAGCTCTGATTGGTCCATGGCAGAGCAGCTAAAGGGTAAACGAGGTGAGGGTTGTGTTTTGGTTCATCTGAGTACGAGTGATCAAACATTTTAGTGTTTACTCAGGTCCTGTCAGGTGTTTTGTCTGTCTGAGTCTGTTTATCTTGTGTACTGTCACTTTGTCAGTGTCAGATGTGTCTGAAGATAGCAAAAAAAGGATTTTTCCAGTCAGCCACGGATTATTTTATGCTGTTATTGTAAATATGTTCATTGTAAAACATGCAATGTGTTTCTTTTTCCTTTTCTAGCTGGTGACTCAGTGTAACGCAAGGTTTGCAGAGTGTTTCAGTGCACAAAAGGAGTGCAACAAGGAGAAGAACCGCAACTCATCTGTAGTTCCATGTAAGTTACACACATCTCAGTAACGCCCTTCTGTAACATCCTCTTTCCTTTGTCCGTAGCACTTTACTAGATGCTATTGACTTACTACATTTAGTGCATCAGAAGTTTGGACACATCTGATTTAGTCTATGACTTGGTAATAATGGTGGGTAGTAATGAAATATATATATATATATATATATATATATATATATAATTTTCAAAATGTCTACATAATTAACCCCTTACCAAGCTTAAGTTTTATTACACACTTCTATAACCTAAGAAAAGCTCCATTAGTTTGCATTGAAGTCCCTGTAGTTACTGAATAGTAACCCTTAGTATGTAATAAACCTGGAGTGTTAAGGGGTTAAATCATGAGGTGGTAGACTTTTAGAGTGGTTTGATGTGAAATGCTCTGTTCTCCAAAAACTTATTGAGTCAGAAATGTTCACAGTGGTGCCGAAAAGTTCTAGACAAACAATCCAGACAATCCAAATGCTTAACACCTCTGAAAGCTAACTCGCACTGAAAAAAAGTTATTACTTGAAATGGTTACAAATACTCTGCCTAATACTGCATTCATGTTTACGTTGAAAAAAACAGTAGTAGGAGTATGTGGCTCATGGCAGCATGAAGCCATGCAAACGTTGGCATGTGTCACAGAGCCGGCGAAAATGAATGATTATCAGAGGTGGAAGAGGCAGGAAGACACTATGTACTCTTTTAATTGTTGTTGTATTATACTAAGTTTGTCTGGAATTCAACAATGAGACGATTGGCATCCAATGCTGTGTTTCACCGCAAAATTTGGGAATATTGAACTCTTGATGAAATGCTACGCAGCTACATTGACAACAATGGAATATCCAGTTTTCTGTCATCCGTCTACCGCAAATATGTGAACGCAGCATGATGCCTGAGACATTGTTTTATGATAGAAAATTTTGGCCTAAAATGTTTTGACATGATTTCACTGTTTTAAAATGGTGAAAATAGTGAAAATATAGAAAATTATTTGCTTGTGTCCAAATTTTTTAACTAGTACTGTCCAACATCCTAGTACCACAATTGCAACATATTCATTCTTACATACTACATGCACATACCAGACAAAACCTCACCCACTCATTGACCCTGTCACAGCTCCTGTTATTAAACCTCTACAATGTGTTCCGCAACCTGATTGGATGTTTTTTCCCTCTCAGCGGAGAGAGCGCGTGTGGGCTTGGCTCCTCTACCTGGTATGAAAGGCACTGATTACATCAACGCCTCTTACATCATGGTGAGTGCATATCACATCCGATACTGTTGAACATTAACTCAGCCAGCACACAAGCCCACTATAGCATGTCTCAGTAGACTCTGCGCTGTGTAGAATCTGTGGAGTCAGCAGCTGCTGCTGTATTTTCTCTGTAGAGCCTGTCTGACATTATTGAATGTTTTTTTGTCATATTTTTAGCAGTGCAGGATGAAGCTGAGGAGAATGACTTTATTTATTACTAAAACCGCAGTGCGCATTTATATTTTACATTGCAGGCATATAACAGATAGAGACAGCCATGAGTAGAATTAAACAGGGTGAACATGTTTCTTTTTTGTTACACATGCAGACAGTGTTTGTCATCCAGTGAGGCCTGTATTTTCAACAAGCTTTACATTTTATATGTAGGGCTTTCACTGTCTATTATATTAGTAATCGAGTGATCTACTAGGTATTTTGATATTTTAATCAAACAGAGTTTTTAAAAAGGCCAAACAATAAAACGGACTTAACAAGAGTAGACCATGTGCAGCATTTCAGAAATGGTAAAATACAAAGTCATAGGTCTGTCCATCAGGCTCTGTTTCTCATTGTAATATAGACCTGTAGGCTAATTTAAAGGGCCCTTATCTTACAATTTTCTTCTTGTTTTTTTCTCTTGTGTGGGTTTATGTACCCTAAACAATTCATGTTCATATGACTATATCCAACCTCTCTTTTCCTTTTAACATTAAACAGACTGTTTTTGTTACTGTGCCTTTAAGATTGATATATGTAAATGAACCTCTGCCCTCATTGCCCTGTATTGTGCCTCATTCAAAAAGCAGTCTGGGCTGAAACACTCTTTATAACCTCAGCGTGACTGGGCGGGGCTAAAGTGCTGTAGGCTGATTAGGCGAATATACGTAAATACATTTGGTTTTTGTGACATCACAAAAACAGTGAATTCAAAATGGGCTGCTTTTGCAGCATAGTTTGCATATATTGATATATGCAAATATATACATTTTCAGACTTCTTTTTCCATGAAATAGGCCCTTTAAAATATGCTTGTAAGAAAATAATTTAATAAAATAACCATCCTGCAAATTGCTAGCTAATCGCTATTGATTCACAGAGAACGTGCATTGTATTTGAGGATTGATTTAATTGATTTATCGTGACAGCCCTAATTATTTTCACCTCTTAGAGGACGCTAAAGCGCTTTTATGGATGGATGAATAAATGGATAGTTGTCATTTATACACAACTAAATACACAACTAAAGTATTTTGGTTGCTTCTAATACTGCTGATTGTTCTGTCTTGAAATCAGAAAGGCTGAGTGTTTGTTTTCCACAGGGCTACTACCGCAGCAATGAGTTCATCATTACCCAGCATCCTTTGCCTCACACCACTAAAGACTTCTGGAGGATGATCTGGGACCACAACGCTCAGATCATCGTCATGCTGCCTGACAACCAGGGGCTGGTGGGTACCTTTAGCTCTGGAGAAGATCTAAAGTAGCGTAGGGGGAGGTCACAGTGTGAGCAGGGGTCAGAAACCCAGGCTTACATCAGAGGTGTCCATCAGAGGGTAGTGGGGGTGGGCTGTAAAGGTGGGTTATATAACTGCTCCAACTGTTCAGTCAATATGGCATGATTTCATCCCTGTTTTCTTTTTTCTTCTCTCTCTTCGCCCCCACCCCGGTCCGTCTGTCTCTTTATGTGTGTAGGCTGAGGATGAGTTTGTTTACTGGCCGAGTCGAGAGGAAGCCATGAACTGTGAGGCCTTCACTGTCACGCTCATTAGCAAAGACAGACTCTGCCTGTCCAACGAGGAGCAGATCATCATCCACGACTTTATCCTGGAGGCTACACAGGTGTGTGTGTGTGTGCACGCATGTTAGGGCCAGACTGATGTTGGTTGGCCCATAAAATAATCTGATATTGAGGTCCTGCAAATTTATCAGCATCTGTGAAAATTACACCTGTAAAGCACTGATAGACTCTGCCCAAACATTTGCATGTCTAATGTTTCTTCTGAAATCAAGGATATTAATAGGGAGCATGTCCCTTTTTTCTAAGTAACAGACTCTAATATTCTGGGAAGGCTTCACACTAGATGTTAAAGCATTTTTGTGAGGATTTGATTGCATTCAGTCACAATGAATGAGGTCAGGTACTGATGCTGGATAATTAGTCCTGAATTATAAGCACCACTCCAACTCCCCCCAAAGGTACTGGATGGTCATCATTCCAGCAAATGCGGCTTCACTGCTTCACAGCTCGATGCTGGGGGGATTTATACCCCTCTAGCCGATGCTTGTTCATTTTACATGATGACCTTAGGCTCCAGGGCATCCCATTCTATTAGCAATGCTTTTCTATAGAGATTTTACAAGCTGTGTGTGTGTGCGTCGTTTATATTGTACCAAACAGACATCTTTGATGCAAGGAATTTATTGTTTTGACTCCTCTTTGTTAAAATGTTATGTTATGATGTCAATAACGCGAGTCTGTTAAGTGCACTCATGCTGTACTTGAATGTGGTTGTTACCAAAATGTTGAAGTGTAATTATGTCAATGTGCTAAATACTCAGTTGCCTCTTACCTTTGGTGATTTTATGTGAATAGGCAACTGATTTTTCATTTAAGAATTTAAAAATGCCAGGGTGACCCATTAAAGAGCAAATAGTGTTATTTATTGTCCAGCTTTGGCTAATAGTTTTTCATGGATTTGTTTAGCGTACACAGTGTGAGGTTCAAGTACGTAAAATAGAAAAACTGCTAATAACAGGCTAAAATAAATAAATTGGCTGTAAAGAAATGGAAATAATGTCTTTCTTGCAATGGACTGGCGATCTGTCCAGGGTGCTTCCTGCCTTCTGCCCAGTGACCGCTGGGATAGGCTTCAGCTTCCCCCGTGACCCAGAAGGATAAGCAGTTTAGAAAATGTGTGTGTGTGTGTGTGAATTGGAAATCGGTCATAAAAATTCATGATGGGTGAACTTCTATATAAAGCCCAGTGATAATGTTTTTTGCAAAGTCACAGTGGAAGTAAATACTCAGTCTGCAACAGTACTGATATGACAGGAACTTTTCAGACTGTCCCATTGCTACTGTGTTTATTATGTCTGTCTAAAGACTGATGTACGTGTCTTCCCCTCAGGATGACTATGTGCTGGAGGTGCGTCATTTTCAGTGCCCAAAATGGCCCAACCCGGACGCCCCCATCAGCAGCACCTTCGAGCTCATCAACATCATCAAAGAAGAGGCCATGACCCGGGACGGCCCCACTATAGTGCACGACGAGTGAGTTCTGACCTCAGGCCAGTTCTGGCTGATCTCTGTCAGTGCTACTGAATAGGGTTTGGTATTGGGAACTGCCCTGTGAACAACCGCTGACCTGGAATAGATTACCTAATCTGCTTCTGCAGGGATTCAGATGGACCAAGACACATATTAAAGGAAAATCATATTTGGAAAATAATGTTTACACAGTTTTCCCCTTCCCCCAAATATAGACCTGCCTAGACGAGTTTGGTGTTGAAGTTTGCTTCTTTAGTTTTCCACTGTAGCTATTTGGCTAATGTACACAAGGCAAATGTTTGGGCACCCCTGGTCAAATTACATACTTGATTTCTGAAGTTAAAAGAGGCAAAAGTCATTTTACATTTTTCTGCTAATGTTAATGCACAGCTATTTTATATTTCATCAATTTTAAAAAACGTGAGTGGACATTCTTCAGAACGTCATTCAGCTTCTTATGCCTTAATTGACTTGGTAAGACTGGTGATGCAGGTCAAGAACTGTCATTGGGAATTAGCTGATGACAATTCCAGAGCACAATAAATTCTCTGACTCTGTAAACATTGTGCTAACACTGAACAACCGTGTTCTCCTCTAAGCAGCAGACTAAGGTTCTGAAAATGAAGCTAATTGATGTCTACAAAGCAGCGAAAGCTATAAAAATTGCTTCCAGCTCACAAATTTCACTGTTCAAAATGCCATTAAGAAACATCAGTTAAGGGGAGCTATGGAACACATGGTAGAACACCAGGAACACTCTAAGATATAACTGCTTGTATGCTGGTTAGGAAGAGTGAGTGAAAATTCCTAAAACAGGAACAAAAAGGCTCCTAGCTGGCTACACGAAGCTTTCGCAAGCTTTGCTATCTGCCACAAGACATGTTACTAAGAACTGACTTAGTATGGTTTCCAAACTTTTGCATATGCCACAGTTTTAGTTTTTCTGTTTTTAAGTTCAGATTTTAAGTCATTTAAAGTGATGTTTGCATTAACATTTGCAGGAAAAATGTTATTTTATGAAGGTTTTTTTGCAGAAGTTTACTGCTTTTCACTTCAAAAAATGGCAGAATGTGTCATTTGGCCAGTGATGTCTAAAACTATTTTCTAAAATCTGTAGCTTACAAGTAATGGAACCTTATAAGTCAATCAATTAGCAACTGCATGCCTGAATCACACATTTACCTTAAACCGCATCAAGCTGTTATTTAACCTCAAACAGACTTATGTGGGATGTGTGGTTTCTGACACTGACATACTTTTATGACAGAAATGGATGAAAATTGGACAAAGTTCAGGCTGCTGTGTGACATAGCTATATTACTATTTTTATAGATACCAGTACAACATACAGTGACAGAATCCACATAAGCAGCTCTATTTGAGATAATTTATCGCAGCATGTGTGGCATGCATCTAATCTGGTGGCTGTAGGCTTCAATGATTTGTTAGCACACTTCAAAGACCAAATATGTCTTGGCTGATTGAGTACACTTGGTGTAGGGGGGTAAATTTAATGTTTCACCGAACAATTCCTTTAATTTAGGATAATGCACTTTCACATAACTGACATGTTGAGGCTTTAAATGCCTCTGTACATGAGGTCAGTGATGTGGGAATGTCCTTTGGCTCTTACAAGGTTCTGGTGTTTTTAAGTATCAGTTGAGCCCTTGGTTCAGTTCCCAGACTGACAAAGACAACACAAAGAAGCGAGAGTATGTCAGAGCCAAGAGGGACAAGTGTTTTTGAAAGGAGGTGGTAGGGATCCCAGAAGCTGAGAGGAGATATGCCCTCTGTTCTGGGGCGGTCGCTCTTTCAGCCAGAGAGGAGACATTTCACTGACAAACATGTCCCTTCTTTTATTGAATATGTCTCTAATTAATTCAACTATCTTTCTTAAAGCTCTTAGGGGCGATACCGCAGTAACAATACAGCTGCTAAAAGGCTCAATTAGTCGTTTTCTCTTTATCAGATGAGACGAGCAGGGCTTCATTAGCATAATGAATAAACATGAAGTGAGTCCAGTCTGGTGCTGCTGTTGGTGTTTTTGTGGTGAAGTAGTGAGTGTTGATATTAAAGGGACACTCATTATGTCTAAGTGGATCTCAGCACTTTCAGGTGGCGCACAATAATGCCGAAACAATACAAAAGGAATCTTTCACATAAAGGGGAAATCTGCAGGTCTTTGATCCTTGACAACTTTTTGTCTCAGTGATGTACATCCTCCAGTGTTTTCTAAAAGCACCTGCGTAGGACCAGACTGCTATAGGCAGCACTGCACTAACACTACACATGCTGTATTGAAACTGATGCAGTGTGCATTTTGAAAGCTTTCAAAGAAAAGAGTGCCTCCTGGCTTCTTTCATTGAAAAAGGTTTTGGCAAGTGGTCTAGAGTAAAGGAAGGTGTTTTTGTTTAGGTGTTCTACAGGCAGTGTGTATTTACTACATATACCTTATGCCTACTTGCAGTTAACCATCCATTACATATTCAATATGTTGGTAAAAAAGGCTCTTATGTTAAGTAAACTCATAACACTTCCTCTTTTTTCCCCACTGAGCTGCGATAACTCAATCTGACCTATCTGAACACTTCAGTAAAGTCTCGAAACTAATTCCAGCACCTGTTCTACAAAAAAGTAATGTATTGAAAACATTTTACAGTGTATTCTATTTATATTTTAAAATATACTGTCAGTATACAGTACTGTGAAAAAGTCAGAGACCATCCTTCATTTATTCATTTTTTAATCAAAACTGTTATTTATTTTTCCGAGATATTTCTGAAAAGATTAGATGTAAGATAATCCACTTTCATAAGGAAGGGCTAAGGTTGTTTCTGATTCTCCTTCCACTGTGAGAAGACGAAAAGAAATAAAGAAAAAAGAAAATTTGCAAATCAAGCAAAGAAACTGCTGGTGTTCTCAAACAATGGACTGACCACCCCAGTGTTTAGACGTCCACATCATTGAATGTGGTGGGATTACTTGGATTGTGAGAAGCAGAAAATGCAACCAACTTCTAAGACTGAACTTTGGAGGTGTGGAAAAATATCTCTGATATCTTTCAGAAACTGATAAGAATGGAAGCTGTAAAAAAGGCAAAGTCTGGACACACTGACTACTGAACATTTTGATACTGTGTTTAATTGTTTTGTAAAAAATTTCTGTTAAATGTATTTCTATTTTTTCCTGACACTGAAAAAGTGAGTAACTTGTACTTACTGGCTGTTTTGACTGGAAATTGAATAAATGAAGGTCTTAGACTTTTCTATTCATCCTACAAAACAACATCTAATTAACTGAATGAGGTGAAGGAAGACAATCTGATCTTATGAGCTTCAAGACTTTATCACTGAATGTCTCACTGACACTAAGTCATTGACTCTGTGAGAGTATTAATTGGTGCATGGCGTGCTGTAATGGTGTATGTATTTGTGTGTGTGTCTCTGCTTTGCCAGGTTCGGGGCAGTATCGGCTGGCATGTTCTGTGCCCTCACCACTCTGAGTCAGCAGCTGGAGAATGAAAATGCAGTTGGCGTCTATCAGGTGGCCAAGATGATCAACCTCATGAGACCTGGTGTCTTTACCGACATTGTGAGTACTTTCGTTTTCTGCTGGCCATGTTAACATTTTTGGGTGATGCTTTTTTTGAGGTTTACTGTATGGCCAAGAGAAAGTGATTCATTTCAAAATATCAAATTGTTGTTTTGACTATCACAGTTCCTTGAAAAAAAAACCTTTCTAGTGGCTATTCCGCCAGCGGAATGAAAATTGACTCATCAGATGTTTTTATTAATATAATCAAAAGTTCTTATTTAATTAAATATATAAAAATTCCAGGCTGAACTTCTGTGAAAAACATTAAAAAAAAAACAATTTTAAACAATATTTAAACAGTATTTAAAATAGTATTTTACATATTTGTTTTAATAAACCCTTTTTACAGTTAAGTATTTTGGAATCTTGGAGGGACTATACATGGTTCATTATTTTTCGGTTAATTTTTGTTTTTTAAATTCTGATTGTTCAATTTTTTTTTTTCCTTTTTTTCCTTTTTGAAGTTCCAGCTAAAGCCTGAGTGGACTGATATATCACTGCGATGAGCCACTTACTAATCTGAACATTACAAAACACGACTGAATGACTGAACTGAGTAGTGGACAAATATTTGATTAACAAGCTTAGTTTTGGTATTGTACTGGACTTGTGCATGCGCTCCATGACAAGTTACATACCTATTATTAACTGAAATATATAGCTGCTTATTTCATAGTCAAGTTTGCAAGATTTTGTTATTGGGATTTGGCGAGTTGGGTCATGAAAGAGCAGTGGAATTATGGCAGCAGCAGTGGGGTAAAGCAGACGATAAGAGCCAAAATTCATTTTTGTATTCATTTTTGTATTAATATGAATAATTGAATTTTTCGTGAAACATATTAAAACTGCCAACAAGTAACAGCCAGAACCAGCATGAAATAAAAGAAAAATACAGTAGAGTTTTTCCCATGTGTTCTAAATATATTCTAAATGTATTAATAATGTATTTGAAATATGTAACTTTTTATGTATTGTCATGGCAGTGTATTCAGTATTCAGCCATCACTGTTTTGCCCAACACTGGTAGCATATAAAGCTACTGCTTTGTAACAAGCAGTAGTGGTACACAAACAAGAGGAGATTTAAAGACCACCAGTGTGAAGAATATATTTTCACTCAGTTTAAATACCAGGCCGAGGTGTGGCTCGTATGTAAGGAAATCATTGGAGCACTTCAGGACTACAATTTCTCCATGTACACATATAAAGTGCAAACCTAATGCTAATAAATTGTAAATTGCTAACTAGCTGTTTACTGTGCTCCCGAAGAAAAAAATAAATAGTTTGGGCACCCTTGATATAGTGTTTACATGTATTTTTATTGTGATCTAAATGATCTGTTACAGATGCAGATCTAAACCATATTCATTCTCTCTCTGTCTCATTGGAGCCCCATCTTCAAAATGCCTGTGATGCTTCTGATAAAACTCTGTGCGTTAGTCTGAATACAGTGTGTTTTATGTCTCTATGTGTTTTACAGGAGCAGTACCAGTACCTTTACAAAGCTATGCTTAGTCTGGTCAGCACTAAAGAGAACGGAGCCGGCCCCATGTCCATAGACAGGAACGGCAGCATGGCCCTGTCCGACGAATCGGACCCCGCAGAGAGCATGGAGTCTCTCGTGTGAAGCTCCGAGACGGACGCCAAGAGGCACTTAATTTACTTTGTAAAACTTCAAGGACTAAGACAGACTTTTTCTGAGGCCTTTTTTGCCAGAACTTGGTTAAATGAATAACCTGATTACTTTTTTACACTGATAAAAAGTTTTTGATATTTATTTTTTCGCCATTTTATGTCTTAATGTTATCCTACTGAACATTTGCACCTATGTTTTTTGAGTTCACAACAAACAAAACACACTTCTGTCTAGTTTGCACTATGAAAATATCAGTGTTACTGCCTACTTCAGTCCTTCTCTATCTCTATTACTCTCTTCCTTTCTGTCTTTCTCTCTAGTTCTCTCTTTCACCGGCACCCAGGTTTTGACATTCCATTATAAAGCCCCACTCTACAGCTTAGGAACAATTCAGAAAAGATTGAAGATAAAAAAGAAATCCCTTCTTTCATCGAGTTATGAGAATCCGAAATTTTCAAACTCTCAAACAGCAGCTCATTAGCATTGAGTCACCAACAAGCAATATGGATTTCTATGCTAATTTTTGACTCTCTTTATGCATCCATTTAGCCTGTTAGACTCGTATTTTACTCTCTACAGGTGGTATTAAACAGCTACTGTGAACTTCATTCTTTTTTTTCGTTTTTTATTTTACAATTCATATTATGCTTTTAATATATATGAATATATCGTATCTCATTATAACTCGTGGTTTTGTAAATGTTAACTGTCATGAGCTTCTACACTTGGTTGAATGATTTCCTACACTTACAAATGACAAGTCCATGCCCTCTCTAGCACCCCCTGCTGGTTATGGTTCCTTTATGCTGCAAGCTGCTGCTAAATAACCTGATTTCAGTGGAATGAAGAAGTAATGTTGGTCATTTACTCATAGTAGTCGGTTATTCAGTGTCACATTTCATGGTCCATTCAGTTTTCTACTGCAACTCCACTCACTGACTAAAGCGGTCTCCATTATTATGCGATGCCTTTTGTACAGTCCAGTCTCATCTCTGCAGGTGTGTGGTGTACATGTGTGTCATGTATGGTGCTGGGTGTTTGTTTTTTTTCTGTTTTTTTTTTTCTTCCTGATTATTCAGAGAGGAAGTGTACACTATGCTCAGTCCAAGCTGGTTCTCTCAGAGCTCTCCTAAAGTTGCTGTTGAAGACGCTTCAGGCACATTTAGACACACATTTAGACACTACTCATATTTCATGCAGTTTCGTGCATTTAAAGAGAACCTGTGCAGTCTTCGCTTCATCACTCTTTCTCATACTACATAGCACAATGGCCTTGTTAACAGACCTTTTGCTCCAACAACCGCAGAAGGGACATTTGATTTGTAAAGTTTTACCAAAGACTTCAAACTCATCCGCTCGTCACTCGTTCACTTCCATAGCGGACAAAAAAAAAAAACAAAACAAAACCTATAAAAGAGCGTTTGTTGTCCGTGTCAACTAATGCAGAATGTTTTATCGTGTGTTTGTCAGGGTGTCAGGGAAAACTGACTTTCATTATGCTGAAAATATGATGAATTCCCCAGTTGACCGTTTAGCACTTACCCTACTTGTACTATTCTATGAAAAACGCTGTTTTTTGTTCAAAGAGTTTGAATTTAGAGGAACGGTGAAGATACATGAAGATGATGGGGATTGTAATGTTGTTTTGGATGTGAGGATGGAAGTATTTGTGCTTTTGTGAAGAATTTGATACCACATCCTCGAACTTAAGAAGAGCACTGACCTTGTTAATGATTTTGTGTCCTGATTCTTCTTGGAAAATGGAGAACTTGCAGCTTTCCGGCATTTGGGATAATATCCCAATATCCCAGTGTTGGTGAAAGTCTTTTTTTTACTCAATTTAGTCATTGCCATTTCCACTAGGTAGGTGCTACGAAGCTGGGAGGGTGAAGGCTACCACAGGCTTCCTCCAAGGCACGTGAAGCACCACCGGTTCTTTCTGAGGTGCTGCTAAAGCAACGTCATTGGACAGTTCAACACGCTTGGAGGAAGACGCTAACTGCTAATCACGTTAACAGATGCCTGCGTTAGCTTGCATCATGCTAAGCGATGGGCGGGTCATCCTACCCACCAATAGAGAGAGAGGAGAGGCCAGTTGTGCCCTCTAGGACGCTTGCTTACAGATGGCTGTGGCATCAGTGGGGATCAAACAAATCTCCAAGCGATAGGGCCAATGCTTATGCTGCAATTTAATCGAGAACATTACTATTATTAGGATTTTCTCCTCTTTTCTTTTTCTTTGAATGTACATACTTTTATTGCTTGTCTACCCACCGATTCTCTGAACACTTTGTACCTTGTCGTATGATCATAGAATTTTATTTTCATATAAAGCTGTTTTCCTTTCCACTTGCAGCTCCCTGAATGTTCTGTATGTGGGGGGGAAGTGTAAAAAGCCAGTGGTCCATTCACCGAGTGACTGACATCACATTCCACACAGTCCCCATGCCTCCCATACCACAAGGCAGTGATTGTGATATTCTCTTATCATTTTCTTTATCGTTTTTGTTTTGATTTCTTTCAAAAAAGAATCTAGTTTGTTTTTTTTGTGTCTGATTCTGTTGTGCGAGGGTGTCATAGGATAGCTCTTATAAGCCACTGATTACGTTTCTCCCATTGACTTGTTCCAAGCAGGTGGGTGTCGACATCACATCCTCTTTTTGTAATCTGGAATAACACAAAACGAAGGAAAAAGTGTTTTTCTTGTTTTGTTGAAAGCTATATCAAAGCATTCTATTATAGTGTTATTTAATATGTAAATTGTATTGCTATACATAAAATAAAATATGGGTTTTGATGTACTTTAAGCATATCATGCAGTCTGCGTTGTGCTGTCTGTATCTGTGTGTTTGTTTTTTGAAAAACTTTTGATCCATTCAATCCTCAAAATGTTGCTCAGCTGCATCGAAACTATGAAGACGAGACTTGGCTCAGAAGACTCAATGGGCGTCATTGACCAACCATTCTTAACATGAAATTTCTTTGTGTTAAGATTCTGACATTCACCAATCCACAATTGGGATTTGTCCCTGGGTAAGAACAGAATCTATATACACACACAAGAGCACAAGATTCTGTGGTTGAAGGTTATGAATCTGACGTAGACTTTTTCTTACGACCTTTCTCAAGAACAAATTTAAGAAAAAAACATATATATAATTATATAAAACTTATTATATAAGAATATTGGTGAATGAGGCACATTGTCTTTTACATCTTTGCTTCCAAGCCACTTTCTTTACCTGAATGCTAGTAACTGTGGTTCTATGAGTTCTGAATGAAGACTGGGAACAGCGGACACCTGAGCATTAATTGAAGCTCTTATTCAAGTCAATGTTTTTTTTTTTTGAATTTCAGTTTTGTTTCAGCACATTAACGTCTGGGTCACCATTATTACTTTTGTTTTTATTTTCCAAAATTAAAAAAAAAAATGTTTCATTTTTATTCAGTTTCAGTTTCGGATTTGTTTTTGGTATTATGGTGAATATTTTATAAAAACTGGCACACACTACAAAAAGCACATCTTGGAAAAATGCAAGTGAAATTGTCTGAAATCTACTGGGCATTTAGTTTGACCTAGAAGGAATGAACTTCTAGACCATCTGTCATGCACTGCAAGTGCATAAATGAAAATCTTTTTTATCCATTATATTATGGTTATAATTTTGATTTGGTTTTAGTGTTTCTGCAAACTGTTGTTAATAACCTTGTCAGTCTTTTTGAACTCAAAACCACAGTTACATTCATAACTAGCATTGTTATAGTCCTTTTGGTTACCCGAGGTGGTGTAAAGCACAGTGAATGACTAAAACTTAAGTCATGAGAAATAAGACTCACCTAGAATCAGGAGTGCAAGCAGTACTACTTATCCCGGCTTCAGTAACTACGTTACTGCAGTAATAATTTACTTGAGTATAAATAAAAGTATTAATAAAGGAAACTACTCAAGTCACTCAGGCCAAGCAGATTTTGACGGGTAACCACAGATGGCAGTGGGTCGAGTCTACGCTGGCAAACAAATTCACTGGAATCACACCATAGCTGACCCAAATCATCTGGACCACCTCCAGGTGTAGTTGCCTCTTTCCCAGCGTGATCCCCTTCCTCCACAGAGAGCCTGGCAGATGAGTGGCTTGCAATGAGGCAAAGCAAGGAAGCACCCATGCAGCTTATGAGGAGGAGGAAGCCCACTGACCTCTTGCCCCCTTGCTGACTGATGCGATGAACTGTAGCCATGTTATCTGGCTGTATTTGCACACACGGGTGCCATTGTACTGGCAGTGTTTCAGTGTCAAGTAACCAGCATGTAACTCCAGCTGATTTAAGTGCTCTAAGGCCATTGATCAGGGCCACTTACCACTGATAGCATGCAGGTGTCAATGCACCACCAACCTGACAGGCATGTATCAGCCATCTGCTCAAGTGGTAAGCTAGCAAGGAGAATATGTTTTCGTCTTGGGGCACTGGGGCCATGAATATATCACCATGATTATTTTTGTTTTATTAGATTTGAAGGTAAGCAAATCAGCCATTTCTGGAACTGGCAAAGCTGTCTAGTCTGATACAAGGAGGCCTGGAATGAATGTCTTGAGCCCATGTGAGGTTCAGTGGACCATGCTCTCATAGACAGACTATAAATCAGATGGTCGAAACCAGAATAAAACATTTCTTCTGCTTATTAATGATCAGCTCTACATTTGACAGTGTGTCAGACACAGCCAGGTTCTCTTTAGAATACAATGCAAGCGAATCATTCAGGTAGAGGAGACTCTTCATGCCAATGCGAGCCTGCATGATTCATGCCTATTGATAGACTGTCTGTGCTAGGTGGGTGATGGGCACATGAAAACAAGCCCATAAACCAGGGGTCGGCAACATGCGGCTCTGTTACTGCCCTGTTGTGGCTCCACAGCAGAATTAGATCTTTAGGTAAAAATAAAATAACCCTCCTTAGCAGTAAAATAAAGCTCTGCTTGTCGTTCAACAGTTTTAACACTAAATGGTCTTAAATATTGGAGTTAATATAAAACTTCTAATTCACCCTTTAACCCTGAAGATCAGCACGCAGACAGCTGTTCACCATAGCAACACTCGCCTAGCTCTTAGCTTATGAAACAGCAAAGAGAGAGATTTAAGACAAACATCAGTAGTTTGGAGATGAATGGACTTATTTGCATTTATAATCACTCCAGCTGGTTTCCTGATACGATGAGAAACTGTCAAACACGCAAAGTCACAAAGCTGAAGTCAGTTTCATATTCACCAGCTTCTTGTTCCAATTCTCCCGTTCCACCTGGTGCAGCAGTTACATTCTGGAACGGTAAATTCGAACACGAAGCTGGTGAATGAGAAGCTGACTTCAACCTCAAAATCAAATATTGAGAGACATTTTGCAATAAACTATTCCACTTTTGATGAAACGTGTCCTGCTGGAGATGCAAGAAGAGCAGCTATAGCTGAGCTAAAGCTGAAGGCAGAGCAAAGTAAGCCTGCGTTTTCATTTATATTATATTTTTAGCCTATACTAGTACATTCGCAAATACTGAGACACATTTACAGCAAAGATGATAAAATGGACACAAAACGTTGTGGCTCCCAAGGTGGTTTGATTTTTGTTAAAAGAGCAAAAAAGCTTTTCTTAACATTTGGGTTGTCGACCCCTGCCATAAACCCATAATTCTTTAGATCTGTTGACATGATCAGCACTCCTGGAAGAACAATCTAAAGAACAACATAATATATCTCTGATCTTCAGATGCTCCTGAAGGCCTTGGTAAACTGAATCAGATGTTAGACCTTGGTTGGAGCTAAACTCTCTAAGGCTCTGGGTCTGTTGCTATAGATTATGTGCTGGAGCCACAGTAGTAGTCTGAGGAACAAGCCGTAGCTGCCCAAGCTAGATGCCAGCAGACGTATTAGTCTGGAGGAGCCAGCGATAGGAGCCCAAGCTAGTAATCAGCTTAGCAGTAAGGGGGATAGTGTGAGGAAAGCAACACAGAGCAACTGAGCTAGTGATGTCTGCCAGAGTAGAGGAGACCTGCTTTGGTTGGCACAGTTTTCACTCTCTGCCGTGTATCCCAGGCATACCACAAATTAGGATAACCCAATCAGCAGCAAGCAAAAGCTAAACATCTTAGCTAGAAGCTAACACTAGCGATGTCTGAAAATATGCCCTGGAATTATTGCCCTGATGGCTAAATTCGTGTTGTGCACTTGTGCCAACCTGCCCCAACGTGGTGGTGGTTGGCACGACATTAAAAGACAATAGCTTCAAAGCATGAAGCAACAAATAGAAACAGGCTGAGCTTTGCTATTTAAAGCAAACCAAAAATATAAACATTTGATAGCAACCAAATAACATTTTCAAATCAATTAAATAGTAGTAATGTTGGCTTGTGCTGAAGTACAATAATAAGAAAAATATAACTTAGTCATTTATTTATTTATCTTTCATTAGCCTATATTAAAATATCACAACTCATTATAAACATCTTTTTTTCTATTTCATGAATGAAACATTATCTTGTTAAAAGAAAACATGGTACAATAAAATAAAAGTGATTTTTTTTCAAATAAAAATAATATTTATATATAAATAGTACAGGTTCAAAGTTGTTATTCATGAGACATCTTATCATCAAATGACCCTTTTAAAGGCTTTTAAAGGTAAGACCAACTTGCTGTAAATTTAACATGCATTTAATGTAATGTGTGCCTAGTTGTGTTATTTACTGTGTCACTCAGTATATGGTAGTTTATAATATAAAATAATATATGTTTTTCACAATAGCCTTAAAGTTGGGCAGGCTGCCAACAAACCCTACCCACATCAGGACATAACTCTTTTTATTTCATATCTGCTAGCATTACCTTTTGTTGACTTTCAAGTGATATATCAAAATATAGTGGACTGCCATTTCTGCTATGTAAATTTATATATTAATATATTTATATAATATACACCAATTAGCTATAATATTAAAACCACTTTGTTTTTACATTCATTGTCCATTTTATCAGCTCCACTGACCATATAGGAGCACTTCATTGTTCTACAATTACACTGTAGTCCGTCTGTTTCTCTACATACTTTATGCTGTTCTTCAATGGCCAGGACCCCCACAGGACCACAACAGAGCAGGTACTATTTGAGTGGTGGATCTTTCTCAGCGCTGCAGTGATACTAACGTGGTGGTGGCCTGTTGGGATCCGACACAGCAGTGCTGCTGGAGTTTGTAAACACTGTGTCCACTCACTGTCCACTCCCTTAGACACTCTTACCTTGTCAGTCCACCTTGTAGATGTAAAATCAGAGACAGTAGCTCATCTGCTGCTGCACAGTTTGTGTTGGTCATCCTCTAGTCCTTCATCAGTGGTCACAGGACACTGTTGGCTGGACATTTTTGGTTGGTGGACTATTCTCAGTCCAGCAGTGACACGGAGGTGTTCAAAAAACTCCAGCAGCCCTGCTGTGACTGATCCACTCATAAATAGACAGTCTCAGGGAGACAGTTCCCCCTGCTTTCCCTGAAGTTAACACTGTGCCAACCAACCCCCCGTGCTAAAAAACCCTATTCTCCCCTAATCAAAACAGCTCTCACAGCCCGTGGAAGACAAGATCTCCTTTGAAAATGTTCCTGGGCTCCCAGCTGGTGAAGAACAGGGCAGGATCTTGAAGCTTTGTCGACTTGTACTTGGTTCCAACTCTAGCAGACAGGAGGAGAAATAAACCTTTCCTGTCTGATACACGGTGCTGGATTGCCATCTAGTGCCCTCTTTCTTTAAACTCTTTTATTGATTTGAGAATGTAGGTGCACAAGCTTCCCATTGCCACCATAATTTACAGTATATCTAACCACAGTGATTAAAACAGTGTTTTTATTGACACTACATATTAATTTAACTGTCCAGATGTCTGATGTTTATGAAAGGGCTGGTTCTATTACTTACACAGTAGGATCTAACCACAGAAGAGCAGCTTCATTTCAACATGACTGGAAAAGAAATATTATACAGGACATGCATAATTCATGAAATCTTTCAATGAGAATCTGCCATAGTTAATAAGCTCTTCAGTGGAGGAAAGATTAGAACAGTTTAGAGCACTTGTTACCCTGAATTTGCTAGCCAGATAATGTTGTGGCAACATTATATAGATTTATATCATGTATAATGCTAAGTGATTTTCCGTTTAGTTCCAAATTACACTTGTATTGTTTTTTTATTTTTCATAGCAGGACTACTAAGCAAAACTAATCTAGGAAATCTATCATACTATCATCTGGGACGACTGCCATCCTTAGTCAACCCCGTAATTTGCTGAGATAACTGAATAGGCTTTTGCAAAAAGCAGAGGTTTTGCTAGGCCTGGCCCTATATTGGTTGTGTTATAAAAATGAATTACCTTAGTGAGGTTAAATTATAGATCAAGACATGCTATTTTATTCCCTCCACCACAAATGGTGAATAGTGAAGGTCAGTAAATTACAGTACTGTGCAAAAGTCAGAGACCACCCTTTCATCTATTTCAGTTCCTGTTAAATTGGAAAATAAGCCAAAAAATGAGCTTCCACAACTGACATAGAGAAAACCGGACTCCTAAAAACCATGCAAGACCTTGTAGACCACCAAAAAATGTCCATACTTTCGCTGCAAGAAGACAACTGAACAGCACGGGCCTGAAAGGATGCGTAGCTATCAATAAGACATTGCTGAGAAAACGAAATAGACAAAAAAGAAGAACATTTGCTCTAGAATACTAAAACTGGACATCAGAGATGTGGAGTAAGCTTTTATGGATAGATATCACAAAATTAGTAACTGAGATTACTGCGATTGCGGGAGGCAGAAAATGCAACCAACTTCTAAGACTGAACTTTGGAGATTTACTACAAGAAGCATGTATAAATACCCCTGCCAATTTCAGAAAGCAAGTCTCCAAAAAAGAATGAAAGCTGTTTGATGAAGGCAAAGGAAGGACACACTGAATACTGAGAAAAATACAGTAAATACAGATAAATTAGTGTTTGAAGCTTTTGTGTAGTTTTCTCATAATGTTTTGTGGGTTTTTTAATGCTGAAAAATGAATAGCTTGTACTTAATGGCCGTTTTGACTGGACATTAAATAAATGAAAGAATGGTCTGGTCTCTGACTTTTGCACAGCACTTTATGTCAGATTGTTCATTTACATTTGAATCAGTGGTGGACAGTAACTAAGTAAATGTAATTTGTTACTGTACTTAAGTAGTTTTTTGTGTATTTTTACTGAAGTATTTCCATTTTTGGTGACTTTTTACTTTCGCTCCACTACATTTCAAAGTCAAATATCTCACTTTTTACTCCACTACATTACGCAAAATCTGTCGTTCCTTTTGGCTTTTTTGTGCATAAAAACCTAATGTCAAAACGAAAGAAGCATTAAGCACTATTTCATTTTATAGTAAATTTGTTTTTGCTAGTTTATGTTTATGAACAGAGACCTACAGATGCAATATAGTAAAGGAAAACTCATTTGTTAACCTGTGTTTAAAGCAGGTTTTTATTAAACTTAAACTTGTAACTAAGTTGCAAATAAATCTTAAACTGAAACTTTGCTTGTTTGCAAAAAGTTTTTTCATAGCCACTTGGTTCTACTGGTTCTAATGGAAATTGTTTGCCTTCAGTGTTTTGTTCTTATGATAATTTTCAGTATCAGACTAATTAATGACATTCTATTGAAAGATTGGTTTACCAAGAGTGACACTGGAGTATTTTCACCTAAAATGAGTTAATGAAGCAAGAGTCTTGTTACAAAAACAGTAATAGGACATTAGAGCCATAATTAGTCTTTTAGTACTTTTACTTTTGATACTTAAGTACATTTGAAGGCAAACACTTTTGTACTTTTACTCAAGTGGAGGTCTAAAGGGAGGAACTTCTACTTTTACTGTAGAGTAATATTTTACCTTGTGCATCTCTACTTTAACTCAAGTACATGGTTTGTGTACTTCGCCGACCACTGATTTGAATGACTTTAATGGTAAAAGGGGGGGGCGCTTTGCTGGGCTGTACCAGACGCCGCTGCGCATGCGCCGAGTCGTGACCGCGCAGTTGTTTGAGACGTTTGAAAGCGGGTGAAGTTCTCATCACATCTGGCCGCCGGTCGTTACAGCACTTCAACGAAAAGCACGGGGTGAGTTAAGGCTGGTTTTCTGTTTTATAGTTTGTGTACCTGGTCAAAGAAATTAGCGCATTCAGTAATTTCACCTCTCAGAGCTCCCCGAGTGTTTAATGTGTCGTTACGAGTAAAACCATGCTGTAGACGCTCAGCTAAGCTAGCTAGTCTGACTAACGGACAGTGGAGCCGTTTGTTAGCAGCAGTTCGTTAGCGAACTCTTCTCATTGCGTCTTATTAAATATTTCGACTGGATGAAGTGCCGAGCTATCAAATCTGAATTAACTGTACCGTTTTTAAACTGAGGGGCAACAAAACTTCCTTATTCTAGCCTGCTAGCTAGCGTAGCGAGCTAGCCCTTTAGCTTGGCGCTTAGCACGCCGGGTTGCTAAGGAGTTTTTGGCTTAGCTGGTTAACCCGATACTTGGCGCTATTTTAGCGATTCGGTGCAGTTATGATTCAAACAACAAAAACTCTCAGCGTTCAATGTAACTTAAGTGTTAACTGTGTTTAGCCTACACCTTGCAATGTCTTCTAGCGAAGCTTGTTAGCGTGTAAGTTAGCCGAGTTTAAACGTTAGCCTGGCGGCCTGCTACTGTGGTGTGAAGCAGCCCCGAGGATGGGCATTAAAACCCCCTCACTAATGCGAGGGAGCTGTTAGCTACAGGCCTAGCTAGCTTCCAGTGGGCTTAAGTTTGCGAAATATCAGAGTATTTTCTCCACCAGTCGAAGTTACATTGCCACTTGGCGTAACTGGTGACTGTTTGAAGCCGGTTAACTGAGTAACGTAAAGGAGAATTCCACCCATTTTTCAGAATTTTAGCATAGTCCCGTCTTTGAGAAGTAAACAGCGTCAATCAGTGGTTTGGTGTGAAATCAGCAGAGGTCCCTTTTAAGATTTGACTAGCTTAGTTTGTATCAGAGGTCATAATACAATAGCAAATTGAATGTGAATTTAATAGGAAGTCGGACGGTTAGACAGAGACTTGCGCATTATTCTAATATATAACTGTTTCCAGGAAAACTCAAAGCCATAACTTGCATTTCACGTTCATGAGGATACACTGAAGTTATTTGTCCAAGTATGCGTTGGAAATGGAGCTTGATGTAAATGATCTTTCTTAGATTGTATAAATGAACTGCATCGAGTGCTATCATTATGCTGTTCCGGTACATAAGAAAAACATTCAGTTTGTACCTATTTTTAAATCCCTTAGCTACCATGGAGTTAAATGATGCCAACCTCCAAACTCTGACTGAGTACTTGCGGAAAACACTAAACCCGGATCCACTTGTCAGGCGTCCAGGTATGATTTTACCTTAACTTTTATCTCAATATTGCATTTGCTTAAAATTTGTGAAGGTTGTTTCATGGGTTAATGTGTCTTCTTGTCCTTCATTTACAGCTGAGAAGTTTCTAGAGTCAGTGGAGGGAAATCAGAACTACCCACTTTTGCTACTGACCACACTAGAGAAGTCCCAGGATGAGGTTATCCGTGTCTGTGCTGCAGTCACCTTCAAGAACTACATTAAGAGGAACTGGCGTATAGTAAGTTTAGGTTTTACAGATTCTGTTCTAAAAAAGGGCATAAAATATCTAGAAGACATAAAGAAGTGATTGTTTTGGGTATGTGTGTCATCTCTTCCTTAGGTTGAAGATGAACCAAACAAAATTTCAGATCCTGACCGGACAGCCATCAAAGCCAACATTGTAAATTTGATGCTAACAAGCCCAGAGCAAATACAGAAGCAGGTACCGGAATTATTTTTGAAACACTTAACCCTGACCACTTTTTTGCTTCTCTTCTGTACAGCAGTGGTTCTCAGAGAGGTCCTCAGGGACCCTCTATGCCTATGTGTTGTGAGTTGGTTTGGGAGAAAAAATGTGGGCTGTCTGTGGGTCCCTGGTTTGTGAACACTGGTGTACATTAACCACATATTACCTCCACAGCACTACTGTCTAACTCTTAAAACTTTTGAAAGCCATACTTCAGAATTTTACTTGTAGATGTACATTTTTAGAAGGTCTATTTAACGTCTTTACAAATCTTTCACTGTAAGTTGCTGTAGCTTTGACTTTGTTTTTGTTGCCCAGTTGAGCGATGCAATCAGCATCATTGGACGAGAAGACTTCCCACAGAAGTGGCCCGACCTCCTGACGGAGATGGTGACACGTTTCCAGAGTGGAGACTTCCACATCATCAATGGGGTTCTCCGCACAGCTCATTCACTTTTTAAAAGGTTTTGGCCCCTTGAGATTAAGCTGCACACTTTTGTTTTAGTAAAAATATTATACTAATATAATAGATATGAACAGATATTTTTATCTACAGCTGCTATGAAATTTCTTGTACTTTGGCCCCAGAAGTCATGGGTAAAAGTTGGGATGCACAATATCAGTCATATCAGTATTGGCACATAATTATGATTTAACCAGTATTTTAGACATTACAGATATCTGATGACACATTTATTGTATACTGGAGGAGCAGACATTTTTTTACGTAATCCTATGCTACAGTGCTGAAATGCCTATATTTAATCGGTTTTACTGTATTAATAACTCTACATGTGAAGATTACTTTTGTCTGTATACAAAATGTATTGCTGCATTATATCAGCACCGACCAGTAATTCCACATCGGTACATACCTTACGCTTGCCAGCTTCTGTCATTTTTCCTGTAGACCAGCACACTTAACATTTTTAATAACAACCCGTTATTGGCTAATGTGAGTTACTTTGTGGAACAGCATCCGTTAAAGGTTTTTGTCCTTCAGATATCGGCACGAGTTCAAGTCCAATGAGCTGTGGCTGGAGATCAAGTTGGTGTTGGACACTTTCGCCCAGCCTCTTACTGAGCTTTTTAAGGTAAAGCCAGACTATCCTTGTTAGTGTTTTTTTCAAGTTTAGCTGCTCAGTTGGTGTTTAAATGCTAATGAAACTTACTGTTTCCACTCATAGGCCACAATTGACCTGTGTCAAACTCATGCTACGGATGTAAATGCCTTGAAAGTTCTCTTCTCCTCCCTTACACTCATATCAAAGCTGTTTTACAGTCTCAACTTCCAGGTATGGGATCTGCTTATGTTGGCATTAGGATACGTAGTGTGTTTGTGAAGTGCCTTTAATTGTGAAGCAGTTTAGGGTAACATAGTAGCCTTGGTGTTCTCTATAATGTTTTCTGCGTTTTGTCCAGGATCTTCCAGAATTTTTTGAGGACAACATGGAGACTTGGATGACACATTTCCACAATTTGTTAACCTTGGATAATAAACTTCTACAGACTGATGTGAGTGTACAGAAACCTATTCAATCAATGATCAGTACATTTTAAAGTAATTCTGGACCTGTCACTTTTTTATATGGTGTAATTTCATTTAAGGTAACCTTTTTTCAAAAAGGTTTTTTTTTTTTTTCTTCCAAAGTTTTGGTAATGTCATGATAGAAAAATTAGCTGATTGCAGTTTTCCCTGCTGTAGGATGAGGAGGAGGCTGGTCTCCTGGAGCTGCTGAAATCTCAGATTTGTGATAATGCAGCGCTGTATGCACAGAAGTATGACGAGGAATTTCAGCCCTACCTGCCTCGTTTTGTTACAGCCATCTGGAACCTGCTGGTTACAACAGGCCAAGAGGTCAAATATGACTTGGTGAGTTACTCTCTGGTAGCCTAAAATATAGTTTTAGATTGGCCAGTTTTGCGCAGGCCTTCAGATCTTCTGGTATGTGGGGATTTCCAATACACTTTCAGAAATTGTCTATGCAGTTGAATCAGCTACCCTTTTTTGAATCGACAAGTTATTGCTCAGTTTGGTAAATCATCTCTTCAGTTTATCAGAAGAAGCTGACACATTCAGATGAACTTTCCAGAGTAAAGTTACAACTTACAAATTTCAGTGTGGCTATACAATGCCACTGTTCCAGGACCAGTGTTTGGCATCTTCATCTAGTCCTTTTTGTAGAATTCACAAATAAAATCATAGTGGATACATTTGTGTTTTGACTGCATCAGTGCATCATTCTGAAGGAGGTGTTTCAACAGGATTGATTTTTGTAATGTTAGAATTAATTATAATACTATTCAATGCAACGTGCAGTCATTTTTGTATATTCACTGTGTTTTTAAAAATTTGGCATGTACATTTTAAAATTAAAAATTCATTTGAAATGTGATTTTAACTTAAAATTAAAGTGCGTTGTTTGTTTCTGAAGTGCTCTAAATAGGGCATGAAATGGTCTCATTGATTCCTTTTTGGCTTTCCTAGCTGGTGAGCAATGCCATTCAGTTCCTGGCATCAGTGTGTGAAAGGCCACACTACAAGCATCTGTTTGAAGACCAGAATACACTAACCAGCATCTGTGAAAAGGTCATCGTCCCCAACATGGAGTTCAGAAGTGCGTGTAGAATTTCAGATCTGATTCTTTTCTTTTGTCATAAAGCGATTTAGACGTGATTTGTCATTTTTGTCTGGCTTTTTAATATGCCAACATTATTTGAGCTTCTCCAACGAAAAACTACACAGGCCGTTAACCGTTCCATACTTCTTTGGTTCAGTTTTTTTTTTTCTTTTGTATAACCTTTCAGTAAATCCAATTTTAATGTCAAAAGTTATACAAAAAGTTTTAGTGGCCCTTTTATTTTAAAAACAGGGATTCAAACAAAGCCATATCACACTCATGTGATTTTTACAACTTGTGTGCAGGTGCAGATGAAGAAGCATTTGAGGATAATTCAGAGGAGTATATAATAAGAGACCTTGAAGGCTCAGGTAACAAAACTGTGTTTCTATGGCAATAAGAAGAAACTGAATATGTCATTTAGATATGTTACATCTTTTACACATTAAGTGTAAGAGATTCATTTAAGATATTTTATTTATTTATTTAGGAATTATTTGGATGTAAGCTGTTTTTGTTTTCACTGGCTGTCAAAACACCAATTCCATTTGGTAACACTGTACTTATGATTCTTAAACTGTGTTTGCCCCCTGCAGACATTGACACAAGGCGGCGAGCTGCATGTGATCTTGTGAGAGGCCTGTGCAGGTTCTTCGAGGGCCCTGTGACAGCCATTTTCTCTGGTTATGTTAACTCCATGCTTACAGAGTATGCCAAGAACCCTGCAGTGAACTGGAAGCATAAGGATGCAGCTATCTACCTAGTCACATCCCTGGCCTCCAAGGCCCAGACACAGAAGGTTAGGGTTTATCTGTGTCCTTTGATTTAAGCATCGGATTGTATGAAATAGTACCACTTGACAGAAATGTGCATTGTGTTGAATTCTTTCATAAAGATAAGGTATGGCTTGCTACATCTTTGCCTTTGCTTCTGTCATGCAGCATGGGATCACGCAAGCCAATGAGTTAGTGAACTTATCGGAGTTCTTTGTGAACCACATTCTAACAGACCTGAGGTCTCCCAATGGTAAAAGGCTGAACTTTTTGTCATGGCTGTTTTCTACACAGCTTTAATTGCTCAATCACTACAGATGGTGCAATAGCTTTTCTTTTCTGTTCACAGTGAATGAATTTCCAGTCCTGAAAGCAGATGCCATCAAGTATGTTATGACCTTCAGAAGCCAGGTGAGCTCCTCCGCTCTTGTCCATGTGTTCTTTCACTTTGTTTCTCCCTGTACTAGACACATCTAGTAGTCATGACAGGCCATGATAACTAGAGGACGCAAAGTGTTAGACCTATTAAGAGTTTTGCTGTAAAATGTGTAGCTTAGTGTAAAGCCTTGGTGAAACATGCTCCTTTAGTTGCTGTCATAACGCACAACTGCATGTGTTCTGGTCTCAGCTTCCCAAGGAGCAGCTGCTAGAGACAGTGCCTCTACTGGTGGCTCACCTACGGGCAGAGAGCACAGTGCAGCACACATATGCTGCTCATGCCTTAGAGCGTCTCTTTACAATGAGGGGATCCAACAACTCCACACTGTGAGTCCAGCTCCTTTCTTCCTGCTGTGTGTCATGTAGCCATGTGTGTTTGTCTCTGCAGTATGCAGTTAATCTGCAGTGTGTTATAAAAAATGTACTGATACAGCGATGATTTGGTGAATTAAATATTTAATTTTCTAATTGGTTTTCTTCTCCTTTTCTGTTTATTAGTCTCTCTGCTGCTGAGATTGCCCCTTTCACTGAGCAGCTCCTCAATAACCTATTCAATGCTATGGCGATACCTGGCTCATCGGAGAATGAATACATAATGAAAGGTGCCTCTTCATAATACATTATAAAAATGTTGGTTTTAAATTTTATGAATTTTAATGTACTATGTATTGTTAAAGTGTCTTGCATTCATTATGAAGCTTTTTTATTCTTACAGCCATCATGAGAAGCTTCTCACTCCTACAGGAAACCATTGTGCCCTACATCCCTACTTTGATTGGCCAGCTCACCCAGAAGCTCCTCCTTGTCAGCAAGGTGAGCCAATCACAACTCTGCTTTCTATTAAAGTAGCTTGAACAGAGGATGCTACCCTGAGAAAAAACAGTAGCTGTTTTGGTACAACATAACTCAGAAAACTGTGCAGTGTCCAGACTGGTTGTCCATGTCTCTAGCTGTGGCAGTGGGCACACAGGCAGGACAGACATTAACAGCCATCCAATAAAGGGGACACTTCCCAAGCGGGACTTGATCCTAAAGGCAGGATGGAACATTCAACAATGAAATTGTAGTTAAATTGTTATTTAAAAGAATAATTTATTAGTGAAACCCATTTTCATATGTGATGAAAGAAGAAAGGGACAAAGGAAGATAAAACATACCATTTGAGTTTGTTAAGGGTTTGTTAATCATGTAAATATTAAAAGCAGCCTTCAAAGTCTTGATGTGTCTGTTTTTCCAGAATCCTAGCAAACCACATTTCAACCACTACCTGTTTGAGTCACTGTGCCTGTCCATCCGGATCACCTGCAAGGCAAACCCAGTCAGTGTTGGCAGCTTTGAGGAGGCCCTCTTTCCTGTCTTCACAGAGATCCTCCAGAGCGATGTGCAAGGTAAGAAGCTTCAAGTAAGCTAACAAGCAGTTTACATTTTAAGATGAAAGCAGTTATTACCAAGTATCAGTCTAATATGCAGATTTAACAGTTTGAAATAAACCTATTTAACCAGTTTTACATATTTATCTCTCTCTGTTTCTCTTTGTCTCTCCAGAGTTTGTGCCATACGTGTTCCAGGTTATGTCTCTGCTGCTAGAGATCCACACTAGCCCTATCCCCTCTTCCTATATGGCCCTGTTCCCTCACCTGCTGCAGCCTGTTCTGTGGGAACGCACAGGCAACATCCCCCCACTGGTCCGGCTGCTGCAGGCCTACCTGGAAAAAGGGGGAGCCACAATCGCCAGCTCAGCTGCAGACAAGATTGTGAGTACCTGTAGTACTGTTGTATATAGTTATAATGTAGAAAGTTTTATTTGGGCTTCCAGTGTAGATAAAATCAACAGGTAAGATTCTACTACTGTTTTTAGCTGTGCAACTTATTTTGTCTATTTTTGTAGAGGTCAATGTCAAAAGACACTTATGTGCAAGTCTAACTGAGATTATATAATGTGGTTTGTGGCAAGTGTGTGATTTAGACATGGAGTTTACATGACGTTAATTGGTGAGGCATAAACTTCCATTATTTGTTAGCTACATTAGCCGTAGCCACCTAGCTCCAGTGCTGTGGTTCTCTGGATTAGACTGACCTCTGCTGTTGTTCCAGCCTGGTCTGCTCGGAGTGTTCCAGAAGCTCATTGCTTCCAAGGCCAACGACCATCAGGGCTTCTACCTGCTTAACAGCATAGTGGAGCATATGCCGCCGTGAGTGATCAACACCGACTCTGATGTCCTTTTGGTTCAGACTTCACAACTGAGTACCTTCATTGCTGTGTGACTACATATATTTATTCTCTGTTTTAGGGAGTCTATTACTCAGTATAGGAAACAGATCTTCATCTTGCTGTTCCAGAGACTGCAGAGCTCCAAGACCACCAAGTTCATAAAGAGTAAGTGTGGAGTGAAACACTTTCTGTTTCTGTATTCTGTTTCTTTGAGTTCTGTGGTCTGTATTGAATTAGATTGTCTGTCTGTTTGTTTTCAACCAGGCTGATTAATGACCCTGCCTTTTGCCTCTGACTTCACAGGTTTCTTAGTCTTCATCAACCTCTACTGTGTGAAATACGGGGCTATTGCTTTGCAGGAGATATTTGATGACATCCAGCCAAAGTAAGTATGAATCTTCAGGGATTTTCCTAATTTGATGGTATTGGTAGCGTTGTGTTAGTTCTGTATAACTCATGACAATACCAACAGATGATGGAACTAGCACATGAAAATACTGATACAGCTGCCAGCAGATTGTTTATCTTCAGCAGATATAAAGAAGTGAAATACACATTTCAGTAAAACTTATGGGGAGAGTTTGACCAGATTTGTGCATAGTTAAAATTGTATCTGTAAAAAGAGGGTCAGTGTGTTTTAAATTTCACATATTCATTATTTATTAAATTGGCAGGATGTTTGGCATGGTGTTGGAGAAGATAGTGATCCCAGAAGTGCAGAAAGTATCTGGGCAGGTAGAGAAGAAGATCTGTGCAGTGGGCATCACAAAGGTCCTGACTGAGTGCCCAGCCATGATGGACACTGAATACACCAAACTCTGGTAAGACACAGTGTATTATTCAGTGACTATACAACATTAAGGTGCAAAATCAAAATCAAACAGATCTCCTTAGCTCAGCAGACAGTCATTTCTGTCCATTTTTTGCCTCTTGCTGGGTGCACCTTAAAGTTAAAATAAACATGACGTCAGATGAGGAAGACACAGGGGAGAGAGCAGCAGACCGTATTGAATAACCAAGTTTGATGATATGGCAACAAGTGGGGAAATGACTGTGTGCTAAGCGAAGTGGGGGTGTGCTTTTTTATTTTTTATTTATTTATTTATTTTTTAGCTGTTAAGCTAAGGTTGGCAGGTCTGGATATGTTTTATTACTGACACAGTTTTGCCCAAATAAAATATTTTACAAAGTTGAACTGTGTACATATCTGAACTTAAAAGCTAGTTAAGATAAAGTTGTAAATAGAGAGAGTATTGGTACTCTATGGCCAGTATTTGTGGATCAGTTATCTGTATCTGTTTTGGAAGGGGGGGAAAAAGGGGTATCTGTGCATCCCTAAAACTTCATCTAGGTTACTGTATTTGCTAACATTCATTTTAATAAATAACCTTTCAGAGCAATGTTGAGATCATTTAGCTAAGTTTTTCTTGGCTTAGCTAGTGACCTTGCTGATAGCTCAGGTTACACATGACTGAGCTCTCATTTACATTGACGTTAAATAACACTTTGTTCACATGTATGCAAACTTTTGTGTTCGTGGTATGATAAAGGACATTGTATAGAAAACTAAATGTTGGTTGCATCTAACATTACACTGACTAACTTAAATCTCACTGTATAAGGTTTTGTAGGGGATTTATTTGATCAGTTAGTTAATTAAAAATGTACTTTTCATGTAAATGAAAAACTGACTGATTAATGAAGAGCTGTTAATGTTGGCATACTAAAGTTGTTGTTGTGTGTGTTTTGGTCCAGCCTGCTTGACATTGGAGTGTAATGTGGCCCAGTTTAAACACTGACTAAATTGATGAATCATCAAAATAATCTGCAGATTTTTCTGACATTGGTGGAATTGATGTCGTTTGTTGTAGGCCTCTTGTGCTCCAGGCTCTGATTGGTTTGTTTGAGTTGCCTGAAGATGACAGTATCCCTGATGATGAGCATTTCATTGACATTGAGGACACACCGGGATACCAGACGGCTTTCTCCCAGCTGGCCTTTGCTGGCAAGAAGGAGCATGATCCGATAGGAGATGCTGTCAGCAACCCCAAAATTCTGCTAGCTCAGTCTCTGCACAAACTGTCTACAGCCTGCCCTGGGAGGGTGAGAATGCCCCAAGTTTTTATTATGATTATTTTTTTAAATTATTACTGCGTGCTGCTGTATCTTATGCTGCATAAAGGTAACCAGGCTACAGAAAATACATCCAGAATAACATTTTGGCTGTTTGCAACTGTAAAGTGTGGATCTTTTCTCAAGAATTTGAAGTGGGGGGAAAAAATACACTTTAATTTTTAGCGTTTCTTTATTACACAAATTCTAATTTGATTCTTCTTTTTCCGGAAGGTTCCCTCCATGCTGAGTACGAGTCTGAATGCTGAGGCGCTCCAGTTCCTGCAGGGCTATCTCCAGGCAGCTTCGGTCCAGCTGGTCTAAAGGAGGACTTTAGCTTTCTCTCCGTTTCGTCCCTGGAGTCTGACAAACCACAGGGGAAAGGAGAGTCACTGTTGAGATTGGGACTGATGTACCTGGACTACACAAACCAACAGACAACCAGTCGACTTGACATCTCACACACATAAGCAGCCACAGGGTTGCCCAAATTTGCGCTGTCATCTGTGAGAGGGTGTTTTAAAGAGTTCTAAAAAAATGGATTGTGTGTGAAATAATGGACCAAGCAGAGAATAGCAAAGTTATCCAAGTGGTTATGTCCGTTTGGTGCCCAGTCAGCTACCAGTGTGCTGTGTTGGTTATTTGCGGTTGAGCAGGGCTGCTTCAGCACTCGATTTCTGATCTAGCGCTTTAATCCCTCTCCATGAATTTGTCAGTCGGCTGGCATTTACAATCCAGGAAGAACAAATCTCCATAACATTGACAACAGTATTGTTGGTGTGAAATGACAAAAGACTTTGACAGAAAACGTTTTGACAGTACGAGTTGGCAGACATTTGATGTCTTTACAAATCAATGGGAAGCAGTCTGTAGTTTTTACTGTATGAATAAGGGCTGTCGTCGTGGCACTAAAAACAAAGCTCTTAGTTTTTCTCCCCTTCCCATCCATTCTCTGCCCCTGCCTCCATTCCCTCCTTTTCCTTTTTTTTGTTGCATGTATCAGTGCTTTGTCTTCGTCCGGTCTTGGTTTTAAGGCCTTGTCTAATTGTTAATAAAGAGATGCACTTGTATAATTCTCATGGCAGTTTTTTTTTTCCTCCTCTTTTAGATTTGTTGTCTTGTGCTTCTACATAAACCTTAATGTCAAACGTGACAGTGAGACAGTAGTGTTTTGGACTGGTGTGACCTGCTCAGAGGTGAACAGAAGGTACTGTGATTCTGAATTAAATGGTGTAGATTTTGTGACCTTAAGCAATATGTTTGCATAGCTGAGAAGCTAAAGATGATATTTAGACGAGTGTAACATCCACCGTGAATGGGGAATAAATGCAAAACCTTAGTGTATCTGGATCTGTAATTAGTTTAAGTGTTGTGATACCAAGGTTATAAAAAAATTCTTGGGATCAGGATGATTGGAGTTCTTGGAGCATCTAAAATGGACCTGATAATGTATCGATGCTGGCCCAAGAAAAAGATGTATCTTCAAAATAGTAACTTTACAGGAGAGGGCAAAAACATTCTTAGTTTTTAACCCAAGCGAATGTAAACAGGGTTTATTCCTAGTCTTTTTGGAGAGTTTCTATTGCTCTTTTCATCATGAAATTCCCACAAGGTAAAGGACAGGCTTTCTGTTCAAAAGATACATAACAAAAAAAAAAACAACAACTAGATAAAAAAAAAAAAAATTATATATATATACGTACACGGTACCACTGATGACTTAAACATGGATGAGACTAGTTATATCTAAAAAGTATTTTTTTTTTTTCTTTGCATGCTCATTAGTGAATTCCTATGTCTGCACACCTTGCTGGAGCTGTATAATAAATGTCTAATTGACCTATTTCATGCAAACCTCTTGCTTCTTGGTGTAGGTTGATGTAGGTGTTCCTCAGTAGCAGGATTAAACACTGGTTGAGAAGGTTTCACTGGGTTGCTTGTGTGGATTTGCGCAGTTGTGTATATATGGGAGTTGTTTTGTGTGCTGTGCTAGATGACTAACAGTAAATGAAATCTGAAAGACCTGTGATTTTTTATTTTGTTTGGGTCTTTTCTGTTTTGTGAAGGTGCATGATATTGTCAGGTCATTCTTTATTGCTTCTCCAGAACAGCTCAGAATAAATCGATCTGAATTACATGCAGAGTTAAACTGTAGACTGTTGGTCATAGTTCCTTGCTAGTGAATGGTTTAAAGGAAATGTGAAGTAAAGCTCAAAAGCAAGATCACATGCCATTTCGCTTAGCAGTTGTCACCTCCACAGCAGGCATGCCGATTAAACTGCTTGGCTTCTCTGCAGTTGCATGAAGTCTTTCCAGACTGGTAGGTCATTTCTTCATTTGTTAAAACTTCTTAATTGGAGCTAATGGAAAAAAAATGTTTTTTTTCAGGAATATATTTGCAGGAATGTATCTACTTATTATTGTTACTGTTGGATTAAAGAAGACAACTCCTTATTTCTTGTGGCTTGAGTTCTCTATCTTTCTAAAGGTGATGGGTGAGTAAGGGTTCTGTCATTTGACATGTACACACCAGTGGAATAAGAAAGAAGGACAGACCACGTAAGAGCTCATAAAGTTTAACTTGAAATGAGATAAATCATTTATTATAGCAAAAGTGATAGCAATTCTGAAACCACAGTGTGGTTGGAAGAAGTAAAAGGTAATAGGGCACACTGGACATGCTGGTCACCTGCGCATAGTTTTATTTATTTTTTTATTATGAGCAAAACATGGCACACATTTAACATTTACATTTACCTCATTTAGCAGACGCTCTTATCCAGAGCGACTTACAAAAAGTGCTTTGTCTATCCAGAGAGTATCTTCGCTAGTTACCAATAGGTTAGAGAGAAAGCCGGTCCTAAGCTCAGATACTGCTAGAATCAGAAAGTCATTGACACCTAGGCACACAACATAGGAGATATATATATATATATATATATATATATATATATATATATATATATATATATATATATATATATATATATATATATATATATATAAATAAAAACTAACTAACTGCTGTCAGCGGCAGGAACGTCATCACATCTGGACCAATCAGAGCTCTGAGCTGGACAAGGAAGCGACCTGCTGTCTGTGCTTTAACCAGAGAACTTGTGGAGAACCGGGTCTGCTTTAAAACTTTGGCAAGAAGATTTAGACTTCGAGACCTTTTGAAACCTGTTGCTTAAACAGCTCTGCACTCGGTAAGTCTTTAAAACCATTTGACGGAGTGGTCGCTGTGGGAGTGACGCACCTGCTGTAAACGTGATTGCTGACTGAACGAAGTCATCTTGTTTTGGATGTTCTGGATGAGAATAATGAAGTTTTTACTCCTTTATCATCGCGTAAAACACAGTCTCGCACAGAAAGTCTGTATCTGGAGGAAGTTCGTTTTGTATAACGTTGTATTCTCTCATAGCAGTAATCTACCACGGCGTTTAGGGCCACTGTTAATAAAAACAAAAATAGTAGACTTCGAGAATAAAGTTGTACTGTTTCGAGAATGAAAGTCGTACTAGTCCGAGAAAAAAAGTAATATTTCGAGAAAAAAGTCAGAATATGTCGAGAAAAAAGTCGTAGAATTACGACATTAAAGTGGCATTAATACCAGGAAGAGTCACAATGTGGCCAAAGGCTTTGCAAAGGGAAGGCAGGGAAACTGTCTGTTTTGTTGAAGGAGAATCGCAGACGCTGACCGTCTACACGGCTATCAGTGGCTACATCTCCGTGCCGTTCAGAGAGGCCATGAAGTTTCACAGACAGTGAGAATGATAATCAAAATGACCCACAGAGACAGGAGTGAGTGGAACTCCAGCGCCAGTACAGCAACCAAGACCCCAACGCGTTGTGGCAGCCCCCTACAGTTAGCCCACTTTGTCCTCCAAATATTACGACTTTTTTCTCGAAATATTACGACTTTATTGTACTATTCTACTATTTTTATTTTTATTAACAGTGGCCCTAAACGCCGTTGTAGTTTGGAGTGTGCCCAGGCTCTGATGTGCCTCTGAAAAACTTCAGTTTGGACGGCCATGTAGCCCCAACACTTAACCCTTCTCCTCTATCTCTGCAAAACTCGGGACACCCCACCCCTAGGCATGAGCGCACAAAAATTTGTATACAGCATGTGAAAATTTAAGTAAGGCAAATTAAAAATGCCAGCAAATAATAACACAAGCTTACAGAATGATGCAGGCAGGGTGGAAAGGAAAAAAACACACAAAGCTTTTTCTGAAGCCTATCCACCAACTTCGTGTGTTCAAGGACAGCATTCAGGCTAGCTTGAAAAGATACCTGAAACTCCTGGGCACTAAAGAAATGCAGGTGCTTTGTGCTACTGTCACTGCAGTCATGATGTTTGTGTGGTGTGAGTTAACTCAACAGTCAAAACTGGTGCAATGCTCTTTGAGTCACAGGGGCCAATCAAACTGAACTCCTTGTGCACCTACCTACAGTGTTTTTTTCCCATGACTGTAGTGCAACATGGAAACAGTTTACATTTTCCTCCAGAGTCAGGTTTTTTGGGTAACAATTTATTGTAGAGTACTGTTCATGAGGCTACATGTCACTTTGTCATGACAACTGACATAACCCTACATAAATGCTTACTCCAATAGACATCAATTGCTATAAAGGTTACATTTGCCAACTTTGATCAAAGTTAGCCAAAGTAGCCTTTATGACAGATGACACCTATTGGAATAGGCATTTCTAAACATTTATGTAGGATTATGTCAGTTGTCATGACAAGCTTATGTAGGTGACATGTAGCCTTAGAAACAGTACCCTACAGTAAAGTGTTACCTTTTGTTGTTCTATTCAGATACAACATATAATAAACTTGTAATAACGCAGATTTCATCTTTGTAGGTTCACTGTTTTAATATAACACAATGAAGGTCTGTTTGCGAGTAGGAGTTCTCTTAATCAGTAAGTCTACTCTTTTTTGTCTTTAATGCATATTAAATCTATCCTCTTAGACCTTTTAAATGATAAAGTGAAATAATAGCAATCACTGATTGGTTTTTCTTCTGTGTTTGTGCTGTTGCAGTTTTCCTCTTGGTATTCAAGTCTCACGCTTTCACTGCCATTGACGCAGTAGTCGATGATCCTGTGACTCTCCCATGTGGAATTGTGTGCCCTGGTGATGCCAAGTGGACCATCTTCATCCCTACTGAAGCCGACGTTGCTCACTGTCACAATGGAACATGCGTGGTTGAAAATCGCTTTCAGAAAAGATTTGCTTTCCAAGGAAACACAACAAGAGGAAACATCTCCCTGCTGATCAGGTCCGTCGTCTACAATGACATTGGCTCCTACAGGTGCAGCTGTGATGGAAGAATAGCTGAAGTAAAACTGAAGGTTTTCGGTAAGTTCTCCTTCCATTAGGATTTTTAATCTATTTTCAGCAAGAAGAAAAATGCCTTATAGTAGTTACCTACTATAAACGAAGTCAATACAGCAGAAGCTAGAACAGGCCAGTTGCCACTTTGGAAGTCTAGCATTTACTACAGGAATAATATGAAATCTTAAGTTTCTTTGTCCCTCAGTTCCTACAGTCGTGACGGCTCTTGCGCTGGAGAACATAACCCTCCCATGCTATGGAGACACTCGGCGGGATGCCAAAGACGTACAGTGGAAGAAAGATGGCCAAAAGGTTCTGCTGTACAATCGCTGGAAAGGGACCATGGCTACTGGTGAAGGCTTTGAAGACAGATTTGTTCTGTCACAAGAAGCCTTTCCAGATGGTGATCTCTCCCTCCACATTGCTTCGGTTCGCCACTCAAATGCAGGATTGTATCTGTGCAGCATCCATGAGGAATTCCGTGAAGGACAACCACGTGCTGTCCTGCTGAAAGTCGAAGGAAAATCAAGGGAACGATGTAAACCTTTATGTGGGGGTAATTAAACCAATTCTTGGAAAACAAAGATTTTGAACTAACCATTTCAGACAGTTGCCTATTCATTCTCATTGCTTACAACTATGCATTCGTGAACAGCTTGTTTCTGTTTTCCCCTGCAGAGAGCAGTCAATGTTGGTGCCTTGGAGTGGTCATAGCACT